TGGGGAGGGATATCAGCAGAGTTGAGAAAGGAGAACACTGAATTGGACTGCTTCCCAGTTCTCTGGCAGGTGATGGTGGCTGCTTGACTTCAGCCTTATCTGGACTCTCCCCCCTTGTCCGAGTTGTTGAAGAGCAGTAATGCAGGCCTAATTCTGAAGTGGCAGACTTGTGCTGAGGAAAGCTGGCAATCTCACACAGTTGTCACGGGGTGGAAGAAGGACGTGGGAAAAGAAAATAAACTTAGTTCTGAATAAAGGTGGGGTGTTAGGCCAGAAATGAAAATAACGCTGAAGGAAAGTGGGGTGTATAAACTCCTCCACAGTCAGAACCAAGAAGGAGCAGAAGCCTTCCCTCAAAGAATTGTGCCTGCAAAGCATTGGGCCTGCGTGACTGAGAAAGAACTCATCAGCACATGAATGATAATAGCGTTTATACATATATATATTCCAATTAGTTCTTAGGGACAGATGGTGACTTTTAAGAAAGAAAATATATATTTATATTTATAGTTATATTTGTATTTATATTTATATGGGAGGAAAAAGTTCAATGTTAACACATCTAGGTTGTAAGAAACAGCAACTCAGATAGAAAAGAGTTAAGATTATCAACGGAAGCAGAACAAAATGTTGTGTACCAAATTGCCAAAGCTAATTTCTGACTCTGGGAAATGTACTGTGACTCTGTGAGAAATGCACTTCAACCACTTGCTCTGCAATTATAAATTGTCGTGAGAAATATTCTGGGTTTCAGTGTTTTAAGAGGATGACCTTGGCACCGAGTCTTTTAGTTCAAATATTAATCCCAACCCCCATAAGAATAGGGAGGCTGTAATGTGTGCCCTTGCAGTCTTTAATGTAGGAATTTCCCATGTGCCATAATATCCAATTTCTGTTGTGGCACAGGGTGGAATTTCTGAAGTTACAGCAGATTCGGAAGACAACACTCCCACTATTTATGCAGCACACTCTGATGAACAGATCAGACAGTTTCACTCCCTAAAGATGTGAAGGAACTTTTTCTAATGAAAAAAACAGAAGAAGGAGAGGGGCAGGAAAGAGTGGGTTGTGGAAGCAGTAGCAGTAGTGCAGCTACGTATTGGCTAACTGAGCAGAATTTAAAAAAGCAGAACAATATGCTGAAGAGATAAAGGAAAGCTTTATAATCCATATGGCAAATGGATTATATGGGACTATTTAAATAATCTGAGAGGTATTCTAATAGGAGAGGAGCAATTGTTTAAGGAGCAAGCCAAAAGGACTCAGTGTCAGCTAGTGAGCAAAATACTGTGTGAAGTCTGTTGTCTTGGTTCCCAAATCAAATTTCTCCGGATGACTCCTAAAGTGATAACAATTATGATTATGACAATTAGGTGTTGTCATGGTTTCATGATTTTTGTTACTGGTATTCAAACTGGCCCATAAACTGTTGACATTTATCCAAATTCTTCTGCGAGCTGGAAAGGGCCTACACAGGAAATTCAGTTCCTGGATATAAAGATGTGGCAAAATGGGCATCACAAATGTGATCAACAAAGTTGCTGCTATGCCTCTGCTCACTAGCAAGAAAGAGGAACAATCTTTTCTGGGTGTAGTGGGCTTTTGGGAAATGCATCTTCCAAACTACAGCCCCCTTTATCAGGTGACAGAGAAGAAAAATTTTAAGTGGGGCCCTGAGCAGCAGCAGGCATTTGAGCAGATTAAACAGGAGATAGCCTGTGCCGTGGCCCTGGGGCCTGTATGGACGGGACAGGATGTAAAGAACATCCTCTACACTGATGCTGGAGAGAAAGGTCCCACTTGGAGTTTGTGGCAAAGAGCCTCAGGAGAGACCCGAGATTCTGGATTTGGGCCTACAGGGGGTCGGAAGAAGGCTACACTGCAACTGAAAAGGAGATCTTAGCCGCGTATGAGGGGGTTCGGGCTGCTTCTGAAGTGGTCGGTACTGAAACACAGCTCCTTCTGGCACCTCGACTGCCAGTGCTGAACTGGATGTTTAAAGGAAAGGTTCCCCCCACCCATCATGCTACTGATGCCACTTGGAGTAAGTGGGTTGCATTGATTACGCAACGAGCACGGATGGGGAAGCTCAGCCATCCAGGAATCCTAGAGGTCATCATGGACTGGCCTGAAGGCAAAAAGTTTGGAACATCACCAGCAGAAGAAGTATCACGAGCTAAAGAGGCCCCAGCATACAATGAACTACCAGGAAATGAAAAGACATATGCCCTGTTCACTGATGGATCCTGTCGTATTGTGGGGAAGCATCGCAGGTGGAAAGCTGCTGTGTGGAGCCCCACACAACGAGCTGCAGAGGCCACTGAAGGGAAAGGAGAATCAAGCCAATTTGCAGAGGTAAAGGCTGTCCAACTGGCCTTAGATGTTTCTGGACAAGAGAGGTGGCCAATGCTTTATCTTCACACTGACTCACGGATGGTGGCGAATGCTCTGTGGGGGTGGTTACAGCAGTGGGAACAGAAGAACTGGCAAAGAAGAGGTAAACCTATTTGGGCTGCTGAGCTGTGGAAAGACATTGCTGCCCGAATAAAGGATATGGTTGTGAAGGTGCGCCGTGTAGATGCTCATGTGCCCAAGAGTTAGGCTACTGAAGAACAAAATAACCATCATGTAGATTGAGCTACCAAAATTGAGGTGGCTCAAATAGACCTGGACTGGAAACAGAAGGTGGGCCCATGAGACCTTGGGCCATGAAGGAAGGGATGCAACATATAAGTGGGCTAGAGACCGAGGGGTGGACTTAACTATGGATGCAATTGCACAGGTAATTCATGACTGTGACACATGTGCCATAATCAAACAAGCCAAGAGGATGAAAGCTCTCTGGGAGGAAGGGTGGTGGCAAAAATATAAATGTGGGGAGGTGTGGCAGGTTGATGATATCACCTTGCCATGAAACCGCAATGGTAAGCGTTATCTGCTCACCATGGTGGAAGCAACTACTGGGTTTATTGCCACCAATATTCCATTCCATGTTGTTGCTGTGTGACAGAGGGCAGCAGAAGGGCAGACTGACAAAATGATGTCTGACACAGAAGTGCAGATGAAGCAAAGGAGTAGAATTGAATTTCCCCACGCTGAAAAATTGGCACCTGTTGACTTTCACTCACTGAATGTTTATGGGAACCAGCAGTGGATGTGAACACAGTGGAGTGGTGGGTGGTGTGTTTCAGCAGTGGCGACAGCAGCAGTGCAGCATACAGCCTGTTGTTCATTGCTGGCAAAAATGCATATCTAATGGTGGTGACTGTGTTGAAAAATAGCGTTTTGTAGCTGTGATTATACTCAATCAAACAATGTTATTGTACTCGTTATCCCTTGTAGTTCTGTGGAAACATGAGAGACATGACTTTTGGAGCAACCTTTGTGTTTGCAGCCTAGGACAATTCCTAGTCACTCAGTGTGGCCCAAACAAGCCAAAAGGCTGGACACTGACATGTTAAGGTAATGGTTACAGTCAAGGGTTACAATCTTAGGATTTGGGTTACTGTGAGTGTTAGGATTAGGGTTATAATTATGGCTTGTGTTAAGGTTAGCATTAGGGTTACTTGTTAATTCTAGTTTATGGCTAGATTTATTATTGTTTTAAGGGTTATGTTTATTATTATTAGGGTTATGCTTAGAGTTAGATGTTAGAGCTTGTGGGTTAGAGTCACGTGTTAAGTTTCAGTAGGGTTAGAGTTATCATTAGGCATTAGGGTAAGGACTTAGAGTCAGGGTTCCATTTAGGGAGAGGTTAAGGATTAGGGTGAGGGTTAGATTTAGTATCTGTCTTATGGTTACGTTTAGGATTAGGTTTTAAGATTAGGCTTGGGGTATTGGGTTAGCTTTAGGGTTTACCTTTGGTTTAAATTTAGGATTAGGTTTTAGTTTTAAAATGGGTTTGGACTACCTCTATGGTTCATGTTAGAGATTTGCATTAGAAATAGAGATGGAGTTACAATTAGCTTTAGGCTTAGGATTGTTAGGTATTACTATTAGGGATTTTCTTTAAAGTTAGATTTATCATTAGGTTTAGGGCTAGTTTTAAACATTCTGGTTAGAGCTTAACATTAGAGCTACAACCAGGTTTAAGGGTTTTTAATTTGGTTTTAGTATTAGAGTTATGTTTATCATTTTTGGGTTAGGCTGACACAAACTTTTGGGATTAGAATTATAATTAGGATTACGTTTAAAGTTTTGGTTTAGTGTTATGGTTTTGTACAGGATTAGTGTTCCATTTAGGATTCCTGTCAGAGATAGGAATCATCATTAATGTGAAATTTACACTTATGTTTTGAGTTTAGAACTAGACTTCAGGGTTAGAATTACAGATTAGGGTTAATGTTTAAGTGTAGGGTTAGGATTACTGTTAGGGTTAGGTTTATATTTAGGGGTTAGAGTTATGTATAAGATTTGGGTTACAGTTCAGATTGGGGTTTGGCTTAGGGATTGGGGATAGCATTAAGGTTACACTAAGATTTATAGGTTAGAATCCTGGTTTTAGTTAGGGCAGAGTTGATCTTTTCTTCACAGTGTCTGGTATGATGCTATGTTTTGGCCTTTTGAAGAAGAATATTTTAGTTACTTTTCAGTGAATTACTTTTCAGTCTACTTGCAGCAACATAAAAAAGTAGTATTACAGAAATTCGGCCAAGTGATCTCTTGTGTTAAAAATTTGAATAGGGTGTAATAAAATATAAAAAACCTTGGATTCAGGATAAAATTGATGTAAGTATAAAATGTCTGCATATCACTGAGTGCTTTAAGTCTTTTCTAGTTTCATTATTACTTCAGAAGTAATTATTAGTATCTTTACTGCACACATATCAAATACTGAATTTCTATCTCTTCCAAGAATTTGAAAGAAACTAGAAGTATGAAAACTAACGTATGGATAGAAAGTTAAGACACAAGGATCAGAACCTGCTCACTTTTAATAACTGCAAGTGATGTAAAAATTCTTCCTAAAAGGACATCTTCAATTGCCTCACAGCATTAGAAATAAAATTGCACAGTGTGCTGTAAAAACTGTTTATTAATAAATGTTTTGAAAAACTGGATTAAGCATTCCAGGGTTTTTAAAGTTTTGACAATCTGTTTTATAGATGCATAGAAATTGCCCAGTTTGTATGCAAAGTTAAGTACTTTTCCATGGTAACAATACAGAAAAGTATAAAGCAGTAAACTATCACACACAGTCTGCAAGTTTTTTTCTTTCTTCAAATTGTTTGTCTACTACAAGCGAAAGAGCCTGAAGAAATGTTGTCATTGTAACACTGGGGGACTGAAAACATGAAAATATCCTGTTAGATCCATCACAGCAACAGGCATACAAAGCACAGTTATTTGAAAAGGAAACATTTGATGTCATGTTACAAAACATTCAAAATGCTAAACCTCATATAAACCAGCTAGCTTAGTTTGACTTTAACTTTACTATGTGAACTCTAGAGTCAATCAACATTACTGAGAATTTGCTTCAACAATCGTTTGAACAAATTAGTATTATGTATGAAGTGATAGGGTTTCTTTCAGCAATGAAGCATGAGAGAAAAAATATTAATGGTTTGTCACAGTATATCAGTAGTGATATCAGTCTTCTTCAATTTCATTTTAAATTATGGCAGTAGAAAATTATAGTTTAGATTAGCAAAAAGTTTTAGGACTTTTTTTTTTTTTTTTTTTTTTTTTTTTACTTCAGGCAAGCATTCAAAGGTCTTCCTATCTGGCTCAAAATCAAACCAAAATATATAGAACAGAAAAAAACTTACTTGAATGTAAAGTGCATGTGCTAGGAAAGGAAGTTTTCTGAGGACCCGGCCACTAAGACCTTCACTTTTTCTATAGTAAAAGAGAGACATAAGCAATGCTAAGTATTCACTCTTAAAAGATGACATTTCCATTCTCCTTCACCCATAAATTACTCTAATGAAACTCATGTCTTAACACCTTCTTTGCTCACTTGCAACAGTTTTAAAAGAAGCTGAAAATGAACAGATGTTGTATGGGAGGCCACATGGTGCAAGAAAGTAAAAAAGGGTAGAGAAATAGCATAGTCACATTTGCCTACCTATGCTTTTATCAAGCCCCTCTACAATCACTGTGACATATCTCATGAATCTAGAAAAGACTATCTATCAGTCAGGATTTGCAAACATTTTGGTTTGGAAGGGACCTTTAAGATCAAACTATGATTCCATGATATCCAGTGAAACTTCAGGCATCTCATTAAGTCAGACATCAATTTGTCTAGAGAATTTCAAAGGGCAGAGCAGAAACCAGGCACAGTTGATACCAAGAAATATTTGCAAATCCCGATCAATTCCACTTATTATCTGCTGATGTTTTGCACTAACCACAACTATATTAAAAAACAAACAAACAAACAAACAAAAACCCCAAACAACAAATAAGCTCAAGATGTTTCAGAGCTCTAGCTATTACTAAATTCCATTACTTTTAGACATAATTTCACAATTTGTTTATATATAAATATGAATGCATACACGCACACTTGTCATGTGGAATTGAAAAAAATATTACCTTGAGATTTCCTTTAGTACAAGACTTAACCTGGACACGTTATTTTCTACAAATCCAATCATTTCTAACTCTCTGAGTGACAAGAGATGCTGTCGAGGATATATGATTTGGCACTAGAAAGAAGAGTTGCACGTTGTAGTATGAAACATTAAAAAAGTCATTTAAAATTAAATTCTAAAAGAAGAGTGTAAATACAGAGAAGGAATAAAATCTGTGTGTTTTTGTTATTTAGGAAGTTTGATGAAAACATCAACTTTAATTAAAAAAAGGATGTTTTATAGTTCTACTTTCAAAATATTACCTTCATCAGCTCTTCCAGGCAAGAAAGATATATTCTGAATATTGCTGCAGCAGATGGAGGGCCAATGTATTGCTTTATGTCTGCTCTGTCTACAAATGCCATGTCTATTTTCTCTGTAATATTTGAAGTAGTCAGGATAACTACATTGGGATACCTTCAAGATAAAAGCACATTCTTAGGTCACACGTACATAAATTGGCTCCACTTGGCACTGACAAATAGATACCTTCTTTCTTATGACTCAAGTCATTTCATGCAATCAACAGCTACATCACTCTTATCAGCTAATAATTACATGCTCTTCAACAGCTATGACTAATCTACTTCAGCACAGTCTCTTTCCTTCAGCTATTTTGCTGAAGGAAAATCCATAGTTTCTCAACCCTATTTTAGAAGTAGCACACACTGACTACTCTGCATGAAGAGAGCCTAACAGCATAGTTTTTGCCATAAAGTTACAAAATTAAGACTTGTAAATTGGAATATTTTATCTATGTGCCTTCCATTTAACTTCAGAAGGAAGTATGTAGTGTAACTGCTAACATAACACATTCAACACTGCACGATGACATTAGAGTGAGCTTAAAAGAGAAATAGCAAGTCCATACTCTAATAAAAATATAAAGAAAAGGTTTAACTGCAGCTGTTTTTCAATGAAGCTTTTGTACTGTGTTTGAATAAACTACTTACCTTTAATTAGCAGCAACACAGGGCCAAATAACAGGATACCTTGGCCAAGTATGCCCAAGGAGGAAGTAGCCATAATAAAACAAGAGATGTGCTGTATTAAATCCAGCAAAGTGGACCAAGAACCATTAATGATTGCTTATAAGCAACATGTTGTATGAGTCTGCTTTAGACAGATATTCTGAAGCTGTTAATGACAAACACATTCTTCACTGATCTTATCTCTCCAAAGTAGATATGATGACCATCTGTGTTGCATCCCTCTGCAGCTTTAATGGAATTATATTATCTGTCATTTATCATACCCAGATTAGTTCACTTACTAACAGGCAAAATGTTCTAGAGGATGATTCAAATTTCTTTTCTCAATTAGCACCCTTAACGAAGAATCTTTTGTTAACCAATTTGGATTAGTGTTCCAACTATAAATTAAGATTTAGAGTTACAACAGTTACCTTTCGCTGTTGCAATAAAATGAATTTACCTTTTAATCTGATCTATTTGCATCAGAACAGCATTCACTACACGAATAGCATCTGAAGGCTCTGTGCCTGCCTTGAAGGCACTGCGGGCTGCTGTGAGGCTCTCCACCTATAAAAACCCAAAACATAGAACTTTTAAAAATAGCAAAACCCCAACCCTAAAAATCAAACAATCCCAATGCTCACACGCAAAACACTGCACATTTGGAATCAGTAAACAAGTAATTCAATACTTTCAGATCCAGTTTAGTATCTGAAATTTCACCTTCAAAGTCTTTTGTTAAATAGAAATCAAGGGAGAGAGTGAAGAGAATATCAAGGGAGAAAGGGGAATAAAAATAATAAAATAAATAAATTTTATTTGAAACAAGCTTTGCAATAGGAACTTCAAATAAGAAAGCTAATGAAGTACTGAAGAACTAAATCAGGCACATCCCACTTGCAGCCTGGCTCAGTTGGCAATGCTTCCTGCCCCTGCCCTGCATCGTAAAGGCAGTGGCTCTTTTCCATGGAGTGACCCCAGGCATGCACCCATTGCTCAGCAACAACCAGTATGCCATTAATGCACTGCCAGCTGAAACCAGGGTGTGGGGAGAACAGTGCTGAGCAGTGCTGACTCAAGTGATGGCAAATAACTGCATGCATACATTGGCAAAACACAGTGCTCTGAACTGTGAAGAACATGCAGCTGCGCTTTCACTTTTGACTGCTATAGGCAAGGACACTCCCATTACACCAGGTTGCTCAAAGCCTCCTCCAGCCTGGCCTTGAATGCCTCCTGGATGGGGGCATCCACATCATCTCTGGGCAACCTGTTCCAGTATCTCACTACCCTCATGGTAAAGAATTTCTTCCTTATATCTAGTCTAAATCTACCCTCATCCAGTTAAAAGCCATTTCCCCTTGTTGTCACTACCTGCTCTGATGAAAAGTCCCTCCCCAGCTTTCCTGTAGGTCTGCTTCAGGTACTGCAAGGCTGTTATAAGGTTCCTTTGGAGCCTTCTCTTCTACAGGCTGAAGAGCTCCAACTCTCTCATCCTGTCCCTGTAGAGAAAGTGCTCCAGCCCTCTGATCATCTCTGTGGCCTTACTCTGGACCCGCTCCAACAGCTTGATGTCCTTCTTGTGTTGGAGGCACCAGAAGTGGATGCAGTGCTCCAGGTGGGGACCCATGAGAGCAGAGGGGCAGAATCACCTGCCTCAACCTGCTGGTCACACTTCTCTTGATGCAACCCAGGATACAATTGGCCTTCTGGGCTGCAAGCATACGTTGCTGCCTCATGTTGAATCTTTCATTAACTGATAGCCCTATATCCTCCTTCTCAGGCCTGCTCTCATGCCATTCTCCACTCAATCTGTATCTGTGCCTGGGATTGCCCCGATCCAGGCGCAGGACCTTGCACTTGGCCATGCTGAACTCAAGCTTGGTATGGGCCCACCTCTCAAGCCTGTCCTTCTGGATGGCTCTTCCCTCTACTTCGTCAACTGCACCACTCAGCTTGCAAACTTGCTGAGAGTGCACTCAATCCCACTGTCCATGTTACCTACAAGAATGTTAAATAGCATCAGCACTGATCTGTGAGGAACACCACTCATCACTGGTCTCCAATTGGACATTGAGTTACTGACCGTAACTCTAAGTGCAGCCATCCAGCCAATTTTATCTAGTGAGTACATCAAATCCTTTTTTCCCCAATTTGGTGACCAGGATGTTGTGGGGGATCACGTCAAATGCTTTGCACAAGTCCAGGTGGATGACATAAGTTGTTCTTTCTTTATCCACAGATACTGTAACTCCGTCACAAAAGGCCATCCAGTTCGTCAGGCATGACTTGCCCTTAGTGAATCCATATTGGTTACCACCAAACACCTCATCTTTATTTTCCATGTGTCTGAGTATAGCCTTCAGCACAATCTCTCCACAATCTTGACAGGCACAGAGGTGAGACTGACTGGCCTGTAGTTCCTTGGATCTTTTTTCCCTTCTTAAAAATGCAGTTATTCTTCCCCTTTTCCAGTCAGTGGGAAGTTCAGACTCCCAATACTTTTCAAATATGATGGATACTGGCTTGGCAACTTCATCCATCAGTTCCCTCAAAACCCACGGATGGATTGCCTCTGGTCCAATGGACATGTGTACCCTCATGTTCTTCAGATGGTCTTAAACCTGATCTTCACTTACAGCAGGCAGATCTTCCTTTACCCAGTTCTTACCTTTCCTTTCTCTAACTTGGGCAGTGCAGCTAGAGGCCTTACCGGTGAAGGTTTTCATAATCCTTATCTTACCAGAGAGAAATACACCTCACTTCACAGTCAACTCTTACTCATGCCATTGATTTTTGGCAGTATATACATTTGTGATCAACTGTTTTCAGGGATGAGGTACAGGAGGAGTCAAATTTCATCAAAAATCTCTGATGAACACCTGGAGATCTACTAAGAATTGAAACCACTGCCATCAAACCAGACTGATGTGTTAATTTCACAAAAAAAGAACATCAAATATTCCTCTAGTTTTATGTTTTTCTTCCTTTTTTTAAAAGGTATGTTAAACAAAAACATTAAAAAATTTAAATGTTTTGTTACTTATATATTATTGATATTGCACATTTTGCAAGGGCTGCTCCAAAAGTAATGCTTCCTGTTTGATTGTACTGGCCCATGATGTCCAGGGTGGATGTTGGTGGTATGGCAGTAAAGGCTGAAACATTCAACCAGTAGATAAGAGCACAGCACAGTGAGGTGGTAGACAGAACACTTCAGTGTGAACCAGTGGTTCACCTCCACTGATGTAGATTGTACAGGAACAGCATGCAGGCTCTTGTTTATTACTGGCAAAAACACAAAGCTAAATGTAGTGACTATGGTGAAAAACAGTATTTTGTAGCTGAGAATTTCCTTTATCAAACAGTGTTATTGTGGTCTTCATATCTGCTGTAGTAGATATGCAAATAAATAGGAGGCATTACTTTCAGAGCTACTTATGGCCCAAGACAATTCCTATTCACTCAGTGTGACCCAAGCAAAGGTTGGACACCCGTGTACTAAATGGTTATGTATCCAAGCCTGGGAGGGGCAACTAAACAATTAACTGAAACCAAATTAATTATTTTTTAGAGCTTTACAACATATGCAAGAACACTATAAATATGAATCCAAGCTACTTGGAAGTTTGAAACAATATTCCACTTGTAAACACACAGTAGCAAATTAAGTCTCACCAAGAAAGATTTTGCTTCATTTTCAGCTGGAATATATCTGCTAAATCACAATGTGTCCTTTTGAGAGCTCTCAAATCTTCCAGTTAATATTAAAATTCATTCTTCTGTACAAAATTATGTGGTTTACGAAAAAGTCTAAGTATTATTATTTTAATGTCCTTTAAGAATTCCTACCCATAATTAAAAACTTTCTGCTAAGTTTTACATACATCAATACTATTAGAATCATACCTCATCGATCAGTACAAACACAAGAGCATCTTTGTCATCAATTAACTCTTGAATCTTCTGGAACATCTTGGTTACAAGCTTGCCACTCTAGAAAGAGGTCATATGCATATATTTAACTATTTCCTTAGCAGACTTTTCAAGTCTTACCATGTTGAGCAATGGAAAACTACTTTTCATTGTTTATTTTAAAGTAAATCTCTAATATAGCCTCTATTTAATTATTTTCAAGCACATTAAGTATCCCAAATAATCTTTGGTTCAAACACTAATTGAACCAAGCTCAATAGATACAGTTTAATTTATACTAAGTCAGAGTTGACTTACTAATTACTACATCAATACTTACCTCAGAAAACCATTTAGAGAAAAGACTATGGCTGTTTATTTCAATTAACTGTCCATATCTATACCTAAAATATGAAGGAAAAAATACGCATCAACTCTCTTGCACTGTAAATAAATCAGTGATGTCAGTAACTCCCCTAAGGCTTAATCCCCCCCACTTCAACCATGGAATTTTTTGAATTCGTACTTTAATTCACTTACTTCTAAAAACACAACATCTGGTTTGTTTTTAATTAGAATTTCCAGAAACTAATCTCACTATAGCTCTTCACAATAAGTCACTACCAGGATTCCTTCATTTTTTTGATTTGTTACTTCTATACAGTTTAGTAAACTGTTTCCATGTTAATGAGTTCATTCCTCTATTCATGCAACATTATTTTCAGTATACCAAGTAAGACCATGAAGTTTATTTACTGTCTGAAGGTTTTTTTATTCAGCTACTAGTTGCTAAGAAGTTTATAGTTAACTGCATTACTTGTCTGACATATCTGATATACAGACTGACTTCAGCATTCAGAGAATTCCAGTACAAAACACACTGGTACCTACTAAAAGCAGGTTTACTTAAAATGAATATACAAATAATAGGCTTAATACTCTGTGATACTTCTCTCTTTAATCTTCACAGATGTATATTATAAGCACAAACAAATGACTATATTGCCATTTGAATTTGTTTTTCACAATCTGACACAAACCATTACACATTCAGAAGGATTTATAATACACTATCTATCTCTTTTTTATATTGGATCAATTTTATTGCAGATGCAGAGCCATGAATGTCAGCACTTGAAATAAAGTATTACACATCTTTGGGCTACTGAAAAGGAACAATTAAGAACAATTAGCTAAAGTGAAGAAATTCCAGAAAGATCACCTGTACGATAGTCGTATCGTCAGCTTCTGAGCCAATGCTTTGCAGAGAGAGGTTTTACCAGTTCCAGGAGGGCCTGAATTCAAATCAAAGTCATACATATATTACAAAGAATCTACATCAAGTTGTTGATGACAAAATATCTTTTTAACTGCTGTATTTCATTAAAGCACTAATTGCAAACAATAGTAGACTGGGAATATCAGGGTATTTTGAGAAGATACCCAATTACCATTCTAGAGCTGTGCTCTAGAAGCTCTGAAGCTGTATCATTTTCAGTGAGTAGTATGAGTAGTATACTAGCTTCTATACAGACACCACAGAGTTAAAATAATCAAACAACATTAGAACAAACTGTTTTGCTCTTGCTGGGCTTTTGTACGTTAGCATTCTCAAAAACTTGTGCTTAAACTTTTATCTTTCTGAAACGTAGCCTGCTAGCATGCAAAACTGAAACCCATCATGTCTGGCTTGATCAACTGTTCACATTCCTGAATCTCCACTATGAGGCAACTAAGAGTATCTTAGGAAGTATACTGCACAAGAAACCTTTTGTTGTTGCCATGATGCCCTACAGAAAAGCCACAAAGATTTTCTCCAAAAGAAAAACATAGTTAAACAGAATATGAATGTATAGAGATTGATTTTTGGGTTCTAAACAACAGATAACAGCAGATAACTAACAGAACTTCCATTCAAAGTTAGTACTGCCTTTATAGCATAAATGTGGTATTTAGCACTACGAGAGTTTGGGATTTTCCAGTATTAACTTTATTATGGTCACAATAAAGAGCTCATTACTACAATTTTACATGTGTGTCTATATATACACATACATATATGTATATATATGCATATATATACATTAAGAACATCTTGGTGCATTAAACATTACAAATTATGTAGAATTAAAAGGTCATCGTGGAAATGTTTGTTATGAGTGTTATTCTTTGAATACCAGTCTGGTTAACAAAACTGTAATCAATCAATATCAAGCTGCAATTTGCAGCAAAACTGATTCAGTTGATGTCAATGTCATTTATAATTAATATTATAGTAAGCTTGGGTTGACTGAACATTACAATTTTAGTCAGAGTAATAATTAAATAAGTGAGAGTACTGCCTTCATACTTGATAACAGAACGTTATATTAGAACATTTGAATAAATTTCTCAGTTTCCTCAAAAGTTTTCATAAAGGAGACATAATAAAGGAATTTTAATATTGCAAAGAACTGTCATCAACTGGTTCCTGATGTGCACAGTACCTGCAATATTTTTTACATTTTATAAAAACAAATTCTTACAAACTCAAATGAAGAATATTGATTATTGTTATTCTATTTATAAAATGTTACAATTTTAATTTCTGCAAAACATAGTAAGTATGAACACTGATTTGATTCTGACATTACTTTTCATAGAACTTTGTGCTACAGAAAGAATATGCCTAGAAGCACTGCTTACTGTAACACAGGAACACATAATTTCATTACATGGAAGAACTACACAAGTTTTTCCTGAAGGGAAGCATAAACAGATTGTCAGTTCATCAACTTATTTTAAGATAGACAATTCTTACCATGCAGCAAAACAACTCTGTTCCATGATATCAGGTTGCTGTCAACGTTTCTGTCAGAAAATAGTAATGTTGTCGTGACATAATCAAGTAACTAATGGATGAGTAGGGGAAAAAAAAAGACACAAATTAGAGACATATCAGCAAACACAATTACAAATGGATGCAATCTCCTAATTATCTCTACTGAGTACCCTAACAACGACAACAAAAATTGCTTTTAAGTCTTTCAGTCTTAGACCACAATTTCTCTGTAAAGGCTGGAAATTCACTTCCTTCCTGCCCTCAGGAAAAAAAAAAAAGCATGCATTGGCCACAAATGGATTTCAGAACTTTCATCAATAAACTAAATGCTTTACAGGCTGAAATTATTTTCATTTTTCACTGTCCCCCTTCCAGTGTATACTCAGTTCAGATCCCAAGTACAGTCAGAGACTCATAATGTGGTTTTAGTTGTTATTACAGCTACACATCTGTTTAGTCTGTTGTGGTCAACTCACTAAACAAAGCAGTTACTGTCACATTTTAGTTGCTTTTGTATTTCTATCAGGTATTTGTAGACTTGTTATCCTTCCAAATAAATAAAGTTGCATATAATTTCCTTGAACGCTTACTTCAAAATAAAATGTTAATTCACTGCAGAATTATCTAGAACACACAAGTAGAGAATTCCTTCAATTACATGAATATTCACCTGAGGTATTAATTTATTTGGATTTCTACCCTCATTTAACACCCAGAATCTTCTTATTTTATTACTGTTACCTGTAATGCTTTTGATCACCTGAATTAATAAGACAATGAAATAGCATTCCTGCCACAAAATGGAGCAATTACACAGCAGGGAAAAAAAATAAATAAAAAAAAAAATCTGAGCTTTATCAAGCATATTTGCCAGTAATATCCTGAGAAAGACAGATACTGTTTTGAAACTTAACAGGAATCATTTCAGAGTCTGCAGAATTCAACCATACTCAGCCAGCTCCATAGCATTAAAAAAATGAATATTCGCTCGAATAACTTTTAGAAAAAGCTGCAGAAGTGAAGTTCCTTCACTTTTTTAATTAATTGAGCAAACACATCTGAAGAAATGAAGCATAACTTCTGGAATGATCATCAATGAAACTTCTAACATGGAAACTAAGATATATATATATATTTGTTGTGGTGCAGGCTTTGTAGTAGTATCTACTAATACACATTTGAGATACGATGATTAATCTTAAAATGTCAACTTTGTCTTCTTTTGTTAAGCATACAACAGCTACATTTAAGTATGGAATTACTAAAAATACACAGAAATTTTGATAAATACATAAAGATTTGCAAAACAGCTAAAACTATGCCACCCTTCACAGTGTAGGAGTGTACTAAGCAGACATCAGAATTTTCTCTCAAGCTGGTTATTGCCAAGTTATTGCTAAATTCTCCTTACGCTGCAGCTACTTGAGGCTGGGTACATTTCAAATCTTACTTCTCCTCAAGCAATTTTAATTGTTACCAATTTTCTACTTACATGTGATTTTACTTCAGTGTCATATATAAGACTTTCCCAAAGGCCATGAAATTCAGCTGTGAAAGCAATACATTACACATCTGTTTAAGGCAAATCAATTCAGGAACTCGTAATCTACCATTGCATCACAAAGGAGTTTCCAAATTATTCTCAGACAAAATTAAGGATCAAGAAGAGCAATCAAAGTATATGGGAAAAATATATGGATTATTTTCTCAAAAAGCAAACCCTACTTTCTAAGGGCTCTATACCTAAACTTACATATATTATGTATGCATATATAATAATGCATAATATATTATATTATATATACATAGTACATATATATAAGTTATATTCAGCATTTCTTAAAAATAACATCAACAGATAAGGGAAGAAAATAAGAAGCAGTTGAATAATATATTTTACAAAACTATTTTTACAAAAAATAGTGATCAAATCAACCATTTCCAGCAGTTGTTTTCTCCCTTAAAGCAGGAAAAAGTAAAAAAGGACTGTGATGAAGAATTATAAACCATAATAGTATGGAAATGTCCAATTATGGACTGCTCCTCAAAGAGAAATGTTGTAAATATTTACACTTTTCACAACATGAAAACATGAAATATTTTCACAATATGAAAAGCACAGGAATTGCCAGACTCACACTCCCTCTTTGGCCTCATGCTCACATCTATACTTCTTCCAGATACAGAGTCCAACCTCAACAGGCACTAGACAATAATCACTGCCAGGCCTTGCTCTGTTGCAGAAGAAACCATTAATCTTTCCAGAAACCTTCTGAGTACTCTGTATCTCTTCAATTTCTTTGCTCCTACTTGGGGAAAAAGCTTACTTCATGTAAGCTTCACATTTCCTCTCTAAGCAAATTACTGTTTTCTTTAGAAAAACAACCTGCAAATTTACTGAAAGCAAGATATTAAGTTACTGACAATAGCAATTGAAAACTTGTTCCAATATTCTTTGCAATAGGTTGCTAGCACGTGGCTTTATGAACAAATGTATTTCATGATTTAGTTGTCAAAAGAAATTCAGGATTTGTTTAAAATCTCAGGTTTTTCCCCAGATTACCAGGTTTTCAGCACAGTCAGACAGGAAGCAAACTGACATTATTTCAAAAATCAATTCACAGGAGAAAAAAAAAAAAAAAAAGGCAAAAGATGCAAGAATCAGGAACCTAAAGAGCATCATGTTAACAAGATACTTTCAGCTCTTGGATGTTCTCTTTTGTGGTTTTGGCAAAGGTTTTGTACAGAGATTCAAGTGTTGCCAGACCACTGGCTTCTGTTTAAGAATGTAACAGCAGCACAACCTTGCTGGCTGGTTGCTAGCTGTGGGCTCTAGAAAGCCAATATTTAAAATGATGAATTTCTTGTAGGTCATTAAATTAAAATTTGACGCCTCTAGGGTTAAGCATTTGTGATTTTGACTGTATATTTTCAGGCTTTATTCCATAGGATCAATTACTTTGACCACAATTACAGAAAAAAATGGCACTTCGTAGAATCACCTGTAGTGACTCAGTCAAAACCACTAAAAAATTCCAGACAGATTGCTTTCATCCACAAAGGACAAGATTATATAGTCAATATGCATACTACCTTTAAAAAATAACACTACAAACACTTTGTTTTTCTTTCATTGTAATTGCTCTGGATCTTCCAGAATTATCAGGTGAGTACCTGCAGGTAGCACCCAGTGGTTAGCTGCAACAATATCCTCATTTTCTTCTTCCAAGTTTTCAACGCTTGGCCCTTCTTCATTCAGATGAAAAATATGAATGGAAAGACTGCTTTTGCTCAAGTCAATAGGCTAGGAGAGATGTAAAAAGACTTTCAATACATCGTATTTCTCACTTCAGAGATAATTAGAAGATATGAAAGTTACAGTACTCAGCCAACATTCAGTTTTGAAACCTACTGCTTCTGTTTCAGCCCTTAATAATGAGCATAAGGTCAAAAAACTTTTCCCTGTTTATGCCAGTTGGTCTAGTACAAGATACTACCTTCTTCTACACATCCAGCACGTGTTCTTAGGCTATCACTACTCTACCTACAATTAATTCATATGCATATGAACAAAACTGTACATTTTTGATTGATACCTGTCTTTCTTTCAATTTCAGCTCTGTATCCACAATTGACACAGATTGCACATTGCTGTTAAGGAAGCTGTCGTCAAATTCCGTCCACTTGTAATCACCAAACACAATGTTATGTCTGTTCAACAGTTTTAGGACACTCATCCTGATATCTTCTTTCTTTGCAGTACTAATAAGAAAAAAACAGCATTAGTTATGGCATTAACCTTTAGAAGGCAAGTAATATCTAATATCTGAAATATCAGAGCGTTTTGTCTACTACAGTAAGCCTCCCTCCATGGAAAACAGCCTCCATTCAAAACAAAGAAACAAACAAGCACACATACCAAATGCAGTAACATTCTGCAGAAACAAACAAATAAATTTAGTTTGTTTGCAAAGTAATAACTTTGACAGTACAGGCCAGAAAACATTGTTCAATTTGTTTGCAATCAAATCAAGGGTTGTGGGATAACAAAACTAAGCATTTCCAAGAACAGAAATCAATATGTATCAAAATGTTGATTGCGTTTTACTATGAATAGTAGAAAAACTCAAAGCCAAACTACTAGCCTGAAATTAGCTTGGAAGCTCAATTACCTCCTCACTCCTATGAACAACTGGTAGCATGCCTCTGTCTAGAGATATAAGGAGAATTCCAGTAAAACAGGTGAAAACTACAGGAGAAGGAAGAGCATTTTAAGATTCTAGAAAGGTGTTAATTTTAAAATTGAGTCCAGAATCCTGTCTTTCAACACTGATGAAGATTCTCTTCATCAAAGCAGTGGATATTTCTCAGCAGGGCCCTCAATATACTCATCCATTTAATCCCAACAAACTGGTAAGACGAGGAGTGGGCAAATGGACAAGGGGTCTGAACAGGACTGTCCTGATCACAGTGATTAGTAGTCCAAGTGGAGCAGCAAGTATGCGAGGCAGGGAAGGAGTAGGGAACGATTAATGTTGGGACCAACACTATTTTTGCACCTTCATTAACGCACTGGACAATGGGATGGAATGCAACTGCATTAAGCTTATGGATGATGCTAGAGCAGAGAGGACTACCAATATACTAAAAAGCAAAGCTACCATTCAGAGGGACTACTGCAGGCTAGAGATAAGGTTTAGCAAAAATCTCTGGAAATTCAACAAAAGTCAAAGTGAAGTCTTGCCTCCACATCTATTGCCCGGAGAACAGAACAGAACAGAGGCCAAAAAGCAACTGCTGAAAAGGACTTGTGACTCTGTCTGTTTGTTGGGCCACGCCTGCATTACTGTGAGTAGTTTGGGGCTCTGCTGTGAAAGATTTAAGTGTGCTAGAGCAAGCCCAAACAACAAGATGCGTCCGACCCCAAGCTGCAGAAACACTGCACAGACACAGAAAAACTCACTGACGTGTTCAGAGAACGCAGAGCGAGGCTGCTGTGCGTGCAACAGACACAAGCTGCAGCAAGCAGAGTTCGAGTCAGCAACAAAAAACAGATCCTGGCGTGGGGAAGGTGGGTCGAACACCTGATCTGTTGTGCTGAGTGACTGTGTGAGCTCAAAATAACCCGAAAAACACAAAGGCTCTGCCTTGGATCAAGGCAGTTTTCAGAGATCCTTTCTGATGCCCTCGGTTCCCTTTCCCGTTCCCACGCACATATACTTTTGCTATTATTCAAACCAAAAATTCGCAGCGAGGCGTCACCAAGCCTAAAAGCCCAGAGGGACCTGTTTGATTTCTGATGAACTTCCACGTGTATCTGAACGTTATCGCACGCGTTTGGGAGGGCTTGCTTCAAATCCCCAGCCGCTTCGTCCATCCTTCCGGCTCCTAAGGAGAAAGCGGCAACAAACAGGCTTTCAGTGACCGGCAGCGCAAGCAGCCCTTCTTCACACGGGAGCAGCGCGTCCCCCAGCCCATCGCGGCCATCAACGCACCCCTTCCTTCTTTCGCGATGAAAAGCAGCACGGGGGTGAAAGGAGCTCACGTCGGACGGAGCCCCGAGGACGGTGACCTGAAGCCGGGCGAGCTGAGGACCGAGCGCCTTCTTTACCCCCTCCGCGCTCAGACCGCCCGCTCTGCAGCACGCAGGGCAGCCGAGGCGCCGCAGCCCATTCGAAAAGCGGCGCGGAGCCCCGCCTCGCGTCCTCTGACCTGGATCTTCCTCCTCGGGGAAGGAGCGTTTCCGGCGGGGGAGGGGAGGTTGTAGCCTTCGGGCTCGGCTTTGCGATGGGGAAGAAACACAAAAAGCATAAAGCGGACAAGGCGGAGTGGCGGTCGGCTTCTACCACCGCCTACAGCGGTAAGGACGCGGGGCGGCAGCGGGAGCCGCGCCCGTCTTCGTCCCTTGTGGCTGCCGGCAGAGCCTGCGAGCCCTCTGCGGCGCACGAAGGGAGAAACCCTCGTTTACGTGGGTGAAGATGCTGCGAGCGATCTGTCCTGGGCTCCCGTTTTCGGGGCGGGCGGTGGGGACGAGGGAAAAGGCGGGATGGAGGTGGGGAGCTGCCTGAGCGTGAGGCGGGGCGGGAGAGCGCGGGGCTGCCGAGAGCGAGCTCCTCCCTGCCTGTGCTTGGGGAGCGTTGTTCAGGTGTATGCGGGGTTTTCGTGCCGCTCGAGGTGAGCAGCCGTGAGAAAACACGTGCTGGAGGCTTTGTCGTTTAGCAAGCGCAAGAAAATCTTCCAGCAATCTCCAAACAGGAGAAAATTCCAGTGAGATAACTACCGTGACTGTCGGTTTTCACTGTAAGGATTCGGTTTGCTTTATTTACGTGTGGATTTTCCAACAGTGGGAGGTTTTGATTTTTGTTTTTGATTAGGTTTTGACTGCTCTGAGGTCAGAAGCAGATTGGCTGGTTGTTTTTTTGTTTGTTTGTTTGTTTGTTTGTTTGTTTTTTTACTGGCACTGACATTCTGGTTTATGGTGGGATGCAAGAACTGTGTCTGCATCTGTGACATTTTTCATTCTGTGGCACGTGGAACAGCTGCTGCTTAGTTTGGATTTGTGATTCTTAGCTGTTGCTTTCATCTCCAAGCACATCGCGTACGCTTTCAAGCTGTATCAGATTCTTACCAATAGCATTTCTAGAACTAGCATCACCTATGTGCTTCATTGATAGCACGCTATCACTTTCACCAGCATCTTTTGACTTTTTTTTTTTTTAAACTTAGATTATGTAGACAAGCCTTTGGAAAAACCTTTGAAGCTGGTTCTTAAAGTTGGAGGAAGTGAAGTAACTGAACTTTCTGGATCAGGACACGATTCTAGTTATTACGATGACAGATCAGATCATGAGCGAGAGCGGCACAAAGAAAAGAAGAAAAAAAAGAAAAAGAAGTCTGAGAAGGAGAAAGAAAAGCACCTTGATGATGAGGAAAGAAGAAAGAGAAAAGTAAGCTGTGATTTTTAGAATTTAGACATACCGTCATTCAAACACGTTCACTTACCTGAGATCAGATAAATGTGTACAGGTCTGGTACAGTCTAAAGGATCCCCTCAGTTCTTCCCTCCACCAGTTTTTTTTAATCAATATTTAAGTAGGAAGACCATTGTTTGGAGGCAGCACTTCAGAACTGTAGAAAATGCCCATCCTGGTTGGTGCATTTCTGCTGCTTAGAAGTGATTTCTGTGTTGATTTGTTGAATAATGTAAATGCTTGTTCCCTTTTAACTGATATTTTTCCTTTCCATTTGTTTTGTGTATTGGTATAAATACTTCTGTTCTTAAATCTAATGTTTCGTGTTTCACCTGTGTCAGAAATATGCTCTGCTATCCTTTGAATGAAAGGTATTTCCTTTCAAATCTAGAATGAACTTTGGTCCCTGAGATATAATAAGTTGTTAATTAAACATAACAGTTTCAATGTCTAAAAGAGCTTTTTTTTTTTTTTATAATCTGGTTTTACATGAGTTCAGCATACCTTTAGGTGGAAGCTCAGTGATTAATGAAAGAACAGTAGTATTTTTATGCTGTTTATGTTTTGCCTTTATGTTTAATCAGAAAAAATTGGAAAAACAGACAATGGCAGTCACAATATTGTTTAAACCATATTATGGATCAGATGTACCTTGAGTATGCCAAATAAAAAATGGCTCTTATTTCTCTGTACCTAGGATTGTGCATTCCAAGTATGTTCTAAAATCTATCTTTTTGCTGTTGTAGGAAGAGAAAAAGAGGAAAAGGGAAAAAGAGCAGTGTGACACTGAAGGAGAAACTGATGACTTTGATCCTGGGAAAAAAGTGGAGGTTGAACCTCCTCCAGATCGTCCTGTCAGAGCGTGCAGAACTCAGCCAGGTGACTGTTGTGAGAACTTGTATCTGCTTAATCTGTATATTAAGTGGATTCTTAATCCATACCTGTCTTCCCAGTGGGTCTGCATCTATCTGTTGATCTTGTCTTCTTTTTGATTGGAAAAAATAGGCTGTGTTTCAGGAATACTAATTCCATGGGTATTATAGCAAAGGAACCATTAAAACTGCACAAATGAAAACATTACCAGAATGGGGGCATCCCAGTGTTGCAATTTGAGTAGCTAAATATCACTTTTCTTTTCTGTAAAAGTGGATAACACCTTAGTTTTATTTTACTAATAGATGTATTTAACCTATTAGTAGATATGAAGTTAAATTTTACTAAAACTATCTTTCAAAAATGAGTTTAAAGCTTATTAAGTAAGATAAATAGTTATTGTATACTTAAAATAGATATGTTTAGATATATTTGTTCCTTTAATTTGTCTGTGTTTCCATCTCAAACTGCAGCTGAAAATGAGAGCACACCAATCCAGCGGTTGCTAGAACACTTCCTTCGTCAGCTTCAAAGGTATTAATGTCTTACCCACAGCTGTGTTGATTGTGTCTAACACACATGTTAGATTACAACTTCTTATTCCAGCTTTCTGTTTTAAAATCATGCAGAGACTGGCTTTAATATATTGGGTAACTTTTCAACTACATCAGACCTCATTAAAGGTTAGTTGATGAATATTATTCCCAGCCGTGCCATTCTATCCTGGGGGTAAGCAAGGCATGTTTTGGGGGTAGACTATATTGCAGTTAGAGATTTATAAAGCACTAATAACTGAATTTAAAGAATAAAAAAAATGTGGATTTTAATAAAGATTGAAGTCATGAAATTGTGTTTTGCATTTTCTGTCAGATGCCAAAGCAAGTTTATACCCACTTGCTTGATAATATTCTGATGTGGAGAAATTGTTTGGTTTTTCCTTATGTTAACTCTGTAACTCATATTTTTTGAATAGAATTACCAACATCCTTGATTTTGCTTTTTTTTTTTTTTTTTTTTTTAAATAAATACAAGAAGTTGAATTCAGAACTAGATCTAAAATAGAAAAGACTGCAGTAACTTCTAGAAGATTTCATGAACAAGAAGATTTGAAGAAATTATTACTTACTGAAGCCAGACACCCATTTGGAGTGTAAATGGAGATACGGATAGCATATGAGAAATAATTAAGTAAATCAGGAGCTAATTTCATCTTTTTCAAAGAAGTCTACATGTGCATAATCAAACTCTGTTCTGTAGCAGGGAGCTTTTCAAATACTTCACTGTTTTGTGAAACTGTTTTTGTTTAGAATTTTTTTTTTCATTTTAAATAAGGCATTACTTGCTTTATTCTGTTAGTGTGGTATAGAACAACGATCATCTTGTTTGCTGATTTAAATTTTAATTCTTTCTTTCTTTCTTTCTTTTTAAATTTTATTTCTAGGAAAGATCCTCATGGGTTTTTTGCTTTTCCAGTCACGGATGCCATCGCTCCAGGATATTCCATGATAATAAAGCACCCCATGGATTTTGGAACTATGAAGGAAAAAATTGCAGCAAATGAATACAAATCAGTCACTGAATTCAAGGTGAATTGTTAGAGATTTAGTTACTTCAGAACACTTCAGTAACAAACCTCAGATTCGTTTTGACTTCAGAAGTCTTTCTTACCTTAATTATTTTAATACATGCTCGTTCAGAGCTCAATTGCCTGTTCTACAAAATTCACTACAAATTACTGTGGAAATGAATAACATGCTGTAAAGATCTGTGGAATTTATGCTGCTAGACACAATATTCTTACTTATATTTAGGGTTTAAGTTATTTCAAGAAACTTAGATTTATTTTTTCTATCTAGACTTGATTAGATTGATTAAATGGCAATTTAAATATATCTGCATGAAAATTGGAGATAATGGGACATTTTATTTAGTGCATTACAATAACATCTTGACTTACCCTGTTTTCCATATAACTGCCATTTCAGATGGTGTTTTGGCAGAAACTTAGTTAGCAAGGTTATTGGCAACTTGCCTTAGCTACATTGGCTGTTGACACTGCAGTAATACCTTGTTGAATGCATTGGCATTCTACAGGCAGGCAGTGCTTTAAGTTTTTTTAATTTTGTTTTGTTTCCCTTTTTTTTTTCTTAGTATTGTCAGCTCCTGGAAGGAAAGAAATTTTATTTAACCTATTCATGAAGTTCTATGAGCAGTCTTTAACTTTCATTGTTTTCAGCTGTAGAAATGATGTAACAAGAGTCTTCACAGAGGACATTGGCTTGCTTTTCAGGGTTGTTTTTTCTCCTATAGAAAATTCCAGCAAGGTGAGCAAAGAGCAGCTTAGATTTCGTACAGGGGCTCTGACAAATGTTAGTCTGTTTTGTTATGTGTGAATTGGGATTTTTTTGTTTGTTTGTTTTAAATGGAGACTTTCATAGGAAATAAGGATACATATTATCACTGCAATCAGCCAGCTGTGCCATCTGGTGTTTTGAAATCCTGTCGGCTTGTCTTTCTCAGTGATTTTAAAAAGCATGTTTGAACAGGAGCTCCCTGGCTGTATTTACATACACTTATGGTTACATTGATAATGCCAGTAGGAGAGCAACCTTAAAAAATGAAAATTACTGCATTGTTCAGACTAACAGATTCTTTTTCTCTGAAGGATTTGTTTTCTGCTGGCACTCTTTGAAGAGTGATAAATGTTTGCTAGAAATCTATCGCTGTCCAGTGTCCAACCTCTTTGTCCAGTGACAGAGGTAGGACTTCCTTTCTAGATGTGAGTATATGCTCATGTTTTTGTAATTGTTAAATAATACAGAAATGTTCTTAGGTTTTGACCTCTAAAAAGGAGTGCTCCTATGGTTGTCTTTCTGATAAACCTGCTACAACCAGCTGGGGCTAATCAGAAGCCAGTACATCCCTCAAAGGGAAGACTATGAACCATATGCTGTATTTAGTAGGGGAGAAATTGTTGCAGGTATACCAAAGTTGGACAAACAACTTGTTATTTTCTGCACTACATCAAAGACCATCACTAGATGCATTGCTCCCCTGGTCTTCCTTGTTTGCTTCTTATCTAATTATTTGCTCCCTTGTGCCACCTTCCCAATTCCTGTTTTTGTCATGGGCTCCGTAAGTGAAGGCAGACAACCTAAATGTCACAGGAAGTCATAGACTAGCATTTATAGCTCTTTATCTACTTAGCTAGCATGGAGCTGATGACTAGTAAATTGTCAGGAGAGCACTGCTCTGGCATCACTGCAGGGAAACAAGAAATAAAAACTATTTTTTTTCCCCATAATCTGATCAGGAATGCAGTAGGGCAGAATTTTTTGTTTTTATGTGTTCATGTTTGGTGTCAGAGGAAGAATTCAGGAGAAATCTCATGTCAAGCTGTAATCTGAATCTACGTTCAGAAATCTTTGTCTCAGAAAATCTGTTCTGTAAACATGGTGGGTTAACTCCAAAAAGCATACCATTCTGTTGGATCTTTACTACAGAACAAAATCATCATCAAATATACTAGACTCCTGTACAGACTGTATTGTATTTGTCTACAGAAAAACTAAAGCTTAATTGATCAGTCATTATTTATTTCAATACTGAAAAGTTATTGTACCATGCACCAGTCTAATCTGTTAGTGTTCAATTTGTGAAGTGCTACTGCATGATCCTTGGTTATTGATTTGGCAACTTTTTAAATTTTCAGAAGACTGTGATAATGTCTTTTTAGCTCAGTGTTTCATAGAGCTTCTAATAATGCTTTCTATTCTTTACTTAATGGACCAATAATATTTGGCTAAAATGAAGTCTTCCCTAGGGGAGGAAAAAAAACAAACAAACCTCTCATGATCTGCAATCAATGTTTTTGGTTCAGCTTGCAGTAGAATGTGTTAAAGCTTATTTTAGCAAGTTGCATCAGTTAGAAATTGCCTGATATTGGATGTGATAGGAGAGGACAAAACGGCTGTTTTGTTCTCTTGTTGCATGCATTGAGCATTTGTAAAGTTGTTTCTTAAGTTTTTGAAGGCTTTTGTTGTTGTTGCAGTTTAAGTGACTGAAGATTACTACAAATTCCTACAAATAAAATTATGTACAAGATACTTTATCTTTTTGCTATTGCATTTCTCTAACCTATTCTGATTTATGAGGAAGGAAAAACATGAAAATCTTTACTTGGTCCCTCAGTGCTGTTACTGATTTTTACATCTGTTTGTTTGGTGTGTATGAGAAAGAAGGAAATGTTACATTTGGCACTTAGGTTAAACTTGTTTATACACTAAGAAGAACACAGAGCTGCCTTGGTAGTGTGCTATGTGCAAGTTGTGGAGTAAAGGACTTTAGTATTTGAACAGTCTTTTTTGTTTTGTACTTTACAGGCAGATTTTAAACTGATGTGTGATAATGCAATGACATACAACAGACCAGATACTGTTTACTACAAGCTAGCCAAGAAGATACTGCACACAGGCTTTAAGATGATGAGCAAAGTAAGAGACCTTTTAAAAACAAAGCAGAAACACTTTTGTTTTGGGGATTCTTTTTTTTGGTCATATTTAAAACGAATCTAATTAATAACAATGTGAAATGTTATTTCATCTATCTGCCATTTCTTATAGCTGTATCTATTCATATTATTCTATTTAGGGGCTCGATAGCATTCGTGTTATAAACACACCTTTATTTTTCAACCTCATCTGCACCACTGAAGTCTGTGGGAACTTATTCTACTGGCTTCAGTGGAAGCAACTGGGATCTAAGTGCCAAAAACCCAACTGTAAAATGTTGCTTCTGGCTTTAACTTTGAATACAAAAATCCCGTTTAAGTTATAATTTTGCATAAACAAAGAAACTTAACATTTTCAAATGTGGTGGGTATAGGGGCGGTTTCAGAGGTTTCATGAATGCACGTATACAAAGCTAAATTTTTACTCAAATACAGTTCTTGATCTGTAAAATTTGAGTTATTTTCTGAGCTGCTTTGTGTGTGCATGTGCTTGTGTTGCTGTTGTGCATGGTAAGTCTTGTATGAAATGGGTTGTTGTCTTTGCATATGCATTGTTTGTTTGTTTCTCTTTCTTGATAGTTGGTCTGCAGAAATTCTGATGCCATGCTACCATGACAAATCATGTTGCATCGCCATTGAAAATGAGGCATAAAGAACAAAATAAGGCCATGGCCATTCCCATCCCATCCCATTATCATAGCATCTTGGCTATGAGGGAAAGGTTAAGTCCCTGCCGCTCTGTCCTTTCTGATTCTAGGAACGGCTGTTAGCTTTGAAGCGCAGCATGTCGTTTATGCAGGACATGGATTTTTCTCAGCAGGCAGCTCTTTTGGGTGATGAAGACACAGTGGTTGAGGAGCCTGTCCCTGAAGTTATGCCTGTACAAGTAGAGACTACCAAGAAATCCAAAAAGCAAAATAAAGAAGTTATTAGGTAAAGGTTTTCATTGGTGTGCTTTCTAGGCTGTTGAAGTTTTTGTAATGTTAGTCAAGAGCAAATAATTGAGAAAACTTCCTGGGGAAGGGATTCCACATTTCCTCATGGAATGATTGCATGTTCTTTTAAATGATACCTTGCATTTAATGTATATATATATGTAAATGTTTTATCATTTCTTTATATTTGCTGAAAATATAAGTAGTTCCTTCTTTTGGTAGTTAGAGATGTTTATCCTAGCCACAAATCTTTAATATTTTGAAGGAACTTTTATTTTTTTTATTTTTTTTTTACTTTAAACCTGTGATAAGTTTGAAGGAAAATCGCTGAGTTCCATTGCTTTGATGTCTGAAATTTAATTGACAAATTCTATTAAAAAAAAAAACAAAAACAAAACAGTAACAAATCATTGCTAATTACATATTTGAACTATTTGAGATCTACTTACATATCTGAAGTTGGGGGGCGGGAAGAGCAATCTTACCTCTAGTTCATGCTCTCTTTTTTGTTTGTTTTTGTTAAAAACAAGTTTCATGGTTCTGAACAGCCACAGGTTTAGTGGAAAAAAAAATCATAATCCTGTTTCTATCTGAAGGAAGAACAGGTGTGTGTAGTTGTTTTGTAGCAGTAGGAGACAGCAACACTTATCTTCAAAAATAATTCTAAACGGAGTAATCTTTTGGGTGTGGAGCTATTCTGGTACCTCTATACAGAAATATACCTGCTGCTGTATAACAAACAAATTTTTCTTCAATAATTGTCCAATAGGTATTGTGTAGGAATTAAGTACCTTTCTGTAAAGGGGACTTTATGCAGATTCTTTCTGATTAGTTTATGATTCTGTTTGTATAATACGTATTTATTTTCTGATTAATTTTTAAGTAAACTGCATTACAGAGGTCTATTTCTACTTTGCCACCTTCTGTGTACTTGTTTTCAAAGTAAACAACTTCCAGAGAGAGCGAACAGATCAAGAAATTGAGACTACCAAAGAACACAGTACTGCTTTGTCTTCAACATCAACATTAATATGCAGTCAAGTAGAATTGTCAGCTATTCTTAACTATCCTGCTATCCATTTTCCTTGGGATCAATTATGCTGTAAATTTACTTTCTTGTTCTCTTAAATGTTTGTGATTTCAATACCCAGAACTGTTTCTTTTCTGATAAACTTGACCTTTAAACCAACTGTATTTTGGCATCCATGTGATAGTCTTTTGATGTACAACAAGAGCTGTGGGTAGATTGCTTTCATAACTGCTTGTTAAAAACAGAGAGCTGAAAGCCATCATTCTGGAAAGTGTTAAAGTAGTTCAGACCTCTGCGTTATAGTTTAAAAATTGGCTTGATCATCTTAGAACAGAAGTCTTCTTTGAAACTTTCACTCAAAATTCTTGTCTGTTATGTGTACAGTAGAGAAAGCCTCTGATGTAGCAAATTTTGCTGCTCTTCACAACCTTTTCTGAAGAATAGGAATGAATGAAACAAACCTAGCACAGGATCATGAGAAAAATGTGTTATGTTTTAACTGTCTTTAACAGCAAAGCTTTTTTGCGTAGTCAGTCTGAATCTCTGTACAGAGGAAAATTCTTAGCTAGGAAATGGAAAAGATACCTCAGGAGAGGGAAATGGGTCTGGTATGAGGAGTAGTACCTGAAATGGTTGGTCCCTGGTGTCTAATGTAACCTTAGTGTATGTAATGCTCTGATAGATTCTGATCTATGAAGTATTTCTTTTATATTTAATGATGACTCTCACCAAAAGCATTGCTGTTTTTTTTTTTCTTGATTGGTTTTCCCCCCACCCAGAAATACAGATTCTCCATTTCCTCATCATCTATTTTTTCTGCATCTTTTTATTTGGAATAATGGCATGTTCACACATGTGGGAGACATATGCATCATTCACCTTGTAATGATATAAGAAATCTATTTCCAATTTATGCTTTGAAGTACTCCTTTTATTTTCATTGAAGTACAGAAACAACTAAATGTTGAAGTTCAAGAGTTGGCTGGTTCTTCTGCTACAAAACTTCATTTTCATAGTGTAATTGTTATTCCACTGAAATGCTGAATTGGACAGACACTGGGAGGGGAGTTGGGACTGTTCTGTTTAGCAAGCTCAGAATTCAGCTTTGTGTTTTGTCTTTTAATTTCTACAACTACTACTCTTTTCTTTCTTCAGTTGCATATTTGAACCTGAAGGAAATGCATGCAGCCTGACAGATAGCACTGCTGAAGAACATGTCCTGGCACTAGTGGAACATGCAGCAGATGAAGCTCGGGATAGGATCAATCGATATCTACCCAACAGCAAGGTCTGCTTCATGACAAAGTTCACAATTCCATGTTGTGTCTAACTTAAATGGCTCTCAAGTTGTCTTGTGTTTTAAACATCTTTAAAAATTCACTTGCAGAAAACACTGAATCATCTTCAGTCTTTGACCTGGCTTCCTTAGTTGCAACTCTTAGCACTGAAAATGATTAAAGTAACATGACACTCTCATATAGGACAAGGGAAAATGGTTTCAAATTAAAAAGGGAAGTTTTAGATTGGCTAGTAGGAAGAAATTTTTTTATGTAATAGGAGTGAAGAGGAACTGGAACAGTTTGCCCAGAGATGTGGATGCCCTATCATGGAAACGTTCAAGGTCAGGCTGGATCAGGCTCTGTGCAGCCCGATCTAGCTGCAGATATCAGTTTCTTGCAGGGGAGTTGGACTGGATGACCTTTAAGGATTCCAACTCAAACAATTCGATAATTCTGTTGTTGCAACCATAAAAAGAGCAAACTTTGGCATAGATTAAACTGTCATTAGGATTTTGGCTCCCTAAAAGAGATAAGAAATTCTGAAGTGTGAACCTAGTATTTTCAGTGAGAAGTCCAGAATCTCTCTTTTATTTTTGTACCTAGCAGTAGTAGCTGTCTGTTACAGCATATTCTTGTGTAAGTACAAAATACGACAGCCTTCACTAAGTAGTAGAAACGATAACAGGAATTTTGGACAGTGCTGACCACAGGTTTAATCACCTTGAACATGATGCTGATACTGTTCCAGACATTTGATTTTTGTTCTGAGTGCTCATTGGAAAAGCTCCATGGTTCTCAGTATGTTTTTCTCAGCATGATCTGTATGTGAGCTGTGATTTTCCTAGCACTAATGGTTTCTTTTGTTATTTTATGCTAGGGTTTGGAATCAGTGCTGCAGACTTTCCCTACAAGTCTATGTTGTGATAGACATGTTACTCTGTTTCCCTTGCATCCTATGGAGTCTTTATTACTGCCATTACACAGTGGCCTCATATCTCATTATTTCACATTCTGTAGTGACTGCTTCAATTTAAAAAAGGTTCAGGATATTACAACATCCTACATTTTTCACCTAATCTTTTAACTTCTGTTGCAGAAGAAACATCTGCATTGAAGTGGTAGTAATGTTTTCAAACTCAAGTGCCTATTTCTTGGAACTATGGCACTCAATTATGATCACTTCTAGGTCAGCTAGATTAAGAAGAAAAGCCTCACAGTAGAAGGTTTAGCTTCTTCAGTATATTTCTGAAGCTAGGAAGAAGACTTGCTAAGAGCAAACATCATTTGGAAACCTATAAAGTAAGACTTCTTTTACAAACCATTTACAGCAATACCAATCTGCTACTTGCTAGCTGTACTGGAAAAGCCTTTCAGGATGCAGTCACTTCTGAAGAGGGCGACTCAGTGATATTCAAGGAAGAGTTTAGATACTCTGTTCCTCATGTCTGGGCTGTTAATCAGCTTGACAGCCCACTGTAGACCCCAGTTAAGTACTTAACACTTAAGTGTGTTATCACATGTGTGTTCCAGTAGGTCTGGCATGGCACTTGTTTGTTAAGAATTTGATAGCACGTGCACAGTAGTACTTCTAAATGCAGAAAGTTGTGGATGAGATGCATGAATGAGCAGTATATTTGCTAAAAGGTGATAAGTAGTTATTCCTAAAAATTCTCCATATTTAAAAGGGAATTCATACTGGTGTTCAGGATCTGAATACAGCTAAAAACACTTTTTAAAATCTTCTGTGTAAGCAGACATCTCCTTTGAGGTTAGACTCTTTGAATGATTACTTGCATGTCTTTGTGATTTTATTTACAGATTGGTTATCTGAAAAAAAATGGAGATGGAACTTTATTGTTCAGTGTAGTAAACTCATCTGATCCAGAAGCAGAAGGTAAATCTTTAAGCAAACCTTTCTAATATTGAGTGTTGCAGTAGAGTCTTAAGTGTATGTGCATATCCTGCATAGGATAAATGAGTTGTTTTGTTTTTTCAGTTAATTTGTGTTTCCACAACAGTTTTTCCCCAGTAGCTTGTTATGGAAGTACTAGAGGAATCTGTCTCCCAAGTTTTCAGTCTCCAGGTTTGAACTCAAAATACGTAAGTCTAGAAAGCTTGTACTTATTAGAATGGCATAGTCCTTGTGCTGCCATATGTCCTATTGATTTAGTACTTCCTTCTCTGTTCATTTTGAGATTGGAATTTATTCACAGAATAGCTATTACTGCATTGATGAGTGCATGAGCCCTTTTGGCTTGTCATGTTTTTGTTGACTTTTTTTAATTTTTATTTTTTAATTATTGGGAGGTGCAAGCCTGTGTATCCCCTGACTGTCTAAATTCTTTTTCATCTTGGAGTAAACTGTTCTGGAATGAAACTGAGCGTTGTGGCTGCCATCATGCACTTACCTATTTTTGAACAAATTAGATAAATGTGATTTCATGCCACTGAAAATTTAGACAGTGGTGGTAATGGGAGCAGAACAAACCTCCAGTATGAATTGTCAGTAACAGTACTACTTTCCATGTTTCACTTCTCCAGACTTTCTTCTTTATTGTTTGTATTGTTAATAGTAATTATACTAGATTTACAGCTAGTCCTACATACTACAGTATGAAATTTCGTTGTAGAGATGTTTTTTTTCCATACTACGGTTCTACAGATAAATTTCCTTTTTTGTTTTTCAGTAATTGAGCACAGCTGCTGGATTTGTTAACATAATCAATGAAATTTAATATAACTGGAAATGTCCTAAATGCATACTTGTTTTTTTAATATGTTTTTTTCCATTTTCTTTCAATATTAAAAACACTCCAAATGATTTGAACCATTTTAACTAAGCAATTCTCAGAACTGATCATAGAATCATAGAATGGCCTGGGTTGAAAAGGACTACAATGATCTAGTTCCAACCCCCCTGCTATGTGCAGGGTCACCAACAGCCCAGGCTGCCCAGAGCCACATCCAGCCTGGCCTTGAATGCCTGCAGGGATGGGGCATCCACAGCCTCCTTGGGCAACCTGTTCCAGTGCCTCACCACCCTCTGGCTGAAAAACTTCCTCCTCATATCCAACCTCAACCTCCCCTGTCTCAGTGTAAAACCATTCCCCCTTGTCATATCACAATCCAACCTCGTAAACAGCCGTTCTCCATCCTGTTTATATGCTCCCTTCAAGCACTGGAAGGCCACAATGAGGTCTCTCTGGAGCCTTCTCTTCTCCAAGCTGAACAAGCCCAGTTCCCTCAGCCTTTCCTCACAGGAGAGCTGCTCCAGCCCTCTGACCATCTCAGTGCCCTCCTCTGGACCCGCTCCAAGAGCTCCACGTCCTTCCTGTGCTGGGGGCCCCAGGCCTGGACGCAGTGCTGCAGATGGGGCCTCACAAGAGCCGAGCAGAGGGGGACAATCACCTCCCTCTCCCTGCTGGCCACCCCTTTTTTCATGCAGCCCAGCACACAGTTGGCCTTCCGGGCTGCAAGCGCACACTGCTGGCTCATGTCCAGCTTCTTTGTCTACCAGGACCCCCAAGCCCTTCTCTGCAGGGCTGCTCTGAAGGAGATCTTTCCCCAGTCTGTATAAATACCTGGGTTTGCCCCGACCCAAGTGCATCATCCAGCACTTGGCCTTGTTGAACCTCATTAGGTTCACATGGGCCCATTCTTCAGAATCAGATTCAGAAGGAAGAAATATTTCTGCAGCCATAGTGCTGTCTTAAAAATGTTCTTCATATGGTTTGGATTTCTACACACAAGCTACTGCTTAGTCAGTGCAAGAAATTGCTTTTCTTGTTTTTGTAATATCTGGATGTTGAATGTTTATGAATTAGCTAGTAAAAGAATCTCAGGTGATGCCAAATGCCTTAGAAGTAAAGTAACTTAGCGCTTAAAGCTGGAAACGTTTTTACAGCATGTACTGAAAATTAAAATGGGGAACCTAGATTTATCTACCTATCCTTAATAGAACTATACAGCTTAAAAGACTTTCAGCTTTTGTAGTGACTGTGACTCTAAAAGTGCATAAGTAGTTCGTAAACATGAGACTTAAAAAAATAATTATCTTATTTTTAATCAATTTATTAGAGGAAGAGACTCATCCAGTTGATCTGAGTTCACTGTCAAGCAAATTTTTACCTGGCTTCACTACACTGGGCTTTAAAGATGAACGAAGAAACAAAGGTAAATGCCAAATCATATTTTAAGGTCATGGTAAGCATTTGAACAATTTCCAGATACAAAATCATTTGGGATTACACTTGTCTCAGAATAAAAGTTCACTTAGTCATTTGTAGAATGTGTAATTATTGAATTTATAGCAGAATGCAGTTGTGATTAAATTGACTTATTTGTCTAAATAAACATCAGGAGATATTTATTGATTCATTTGCCACAGTAAAGCTTTTTAATAAAGGTAGCCCATTTTCAGTGGAGACTTCTTTTTTTTTCCTGGACCAGCAGTGCTTTGATTGGAGAAAAACCTTTTTTGTTGTTTGCTTTGTTTATCCTATGACAAGAATTTCACAAGAGTGCCTTTCTAGTTAGAATGTTCACTTTTTTTCATAGTGCTGCCACCTTTACTAGTTTCTAACCCACTGTTTTTCCACTGTAATATCACATAAACTGTGAAAGCATTTTTAAAATCTCCTGATTAAATTTGGACTTCTGTTGTTGAAGAAAAGCTTTTATTTTCACTCTCTACCTGTTCTCCACAAGCACAAGGAATAGAAAATTTGGGAAAAAATTGGGAGGCTGGGCAGAGCTTATTAAATTATTTATTTATGTTCTTGTTACATATATGTGTAAAATTGTTAAAGCTGTTACTGATTCTGGAGTCCAGAAGTGTCCTTGAGATATTGCTCTTGGTTTCTGTTTGAGAAATAAACAGTGCTTCACAAAAAAAGAAATCTTACTTGCTTTCCAGCCAATCATTTATACTTTTGTTAATTACTTGTTGTCTGTCTTTTCTACCTGTCTAGTAACCTTTCTTACAAGTGCTAGTACAGCCCTTTCCTTGCAAAACAACTCTATTTTTCATGATTTGAAATCAGAAGAAGTGGAACTCCTATACTCAGCATATGGTGATGAAACTGGGATACAATGTGCCTTAAGGTAAATGCTTCAGCATTTTTTATTGACTTACATCGTCTCTTTTGTGTCATTTTTCACTAAAATTAGCTAAACTCTAGCTGGAAGCCACAAAAATTTCCACCCCTACCCTCACTTAAATCTCTAAACTTTACCAAATTAGTAAAACATGAAGCTGGCTACCTTTCATCCTACTTTTTTCGTTTCGGTTGGGTTTTTTTGGGGAGGGGGCAGTGGGTTTTTTTTTTTTTTTATTTTCAATTTGCATTTCTGTTACAAGTTTGTTGCAAGATTGTTAATAAATATTTTGACTACAGGAATTTGTACATTGCTAATGATTTAGCAGTTTGCTTTAAACCCTAGCTATAGGTGGGCTTGGATACAAGTGATAAATTTTTTTTGTTTTTTAAGGTGTTTCAAAGCAGTCGTAGCTTCCTGAAAAGGAAAATATCACTTTGCATTGAATTGTTGGTTTTTGAGTGAAAGAATTAATCAGGCTTTTTTGTTTTCTTAACTCTTTTTTGGTTTTGTGGCTATTTTTTGTTTAATAGAAGGAAATAAATATTCAGTCTTGTTTTTCAAAACTACTGGTAAATCTTCTCTTGAGCTGTCATTGATAATGGGAATAATGGGAATAAAAAAATGGGAATAAAAAAAAACACCCACATCTTGAAAGCTTTAATTTCTTCTCTAAAGAAGGATGGAAAAGTGAAGGAATGAGGAAAAAGTAGTACAGCATAGGTGGAGAAAACCATATTATAAATTGAAATACCTTTTATGAACATAAACGTTTTCTGTAATGCTTATCTCCCATTTCTGCCAGCTTACAAGAATTTGTGAAGGATGCTGGACATTACAGCAAGAAAATAGTAGATGATCTTCTGGACCAGATCACAAGTGGAGACCATTCCAAAACTGTTTATCAGCTGAAGCAGGTGTGTTGATGCACAGAAATGTCACAGGTTAATGAATACACAGATAGACCCGTCTGGTTTTTTAATATTGGCTGAGAGGCATTGTTTTGTAGTGTCAGTTTAAGCTGTGCATGCTTAGCTGTTCATACAACAGCATGATGAACCAAGTTACAACCAACAACCAACAGAATTAATCAGCAGTGAAGTAATCTTCCTCTGTTGTTGCCACAGCTCAGTCAATTCTGCAGTTAGATGGTGAACCTCACTGGAGAAAGAAAGAGGTTGAGGTGTGCAGCTGAGTGGAGGGAAACTAACAAGATGAGGCTGTGTGGGCAGCCTGTCTCTTGATGTAATGACTTAAGTTTCTGCTTCAGAGTTGCACTGCAAAGCTTGATGTAAGGACTTGTTTTCATTTGTTTAAATGCAGAATACACTCCTTGTGGAAGAAGGTTTAATACTTAAAATATTGAAATAATGTTGGAGAATAATGCTGTAACTGACACATATTGCCTACGAATGGTAACATTTAAATTTGTATAGTGTGTATGAGGGAAAAGCTTGTAGCTTGTTAATGAAAGCTCTCCACCTGAGAGATCCCTCCTAAGACTGGAAAAGAGATTTTCTGAAGTGTCAGGTGGGTGTGTAATAGTAGTGGGCACATTTGCATTGCTAAGACAAAATCACAAAAATTTTGTTTCATGTTATTTTCACTCTTAATACCTCTCTTAATGTAGAATAATTGCCTGTTGCTTAAAATGTTCAGGCTCTGAATGACTGTAAAAGAAGGGAAAGTATGGAGGGACCATGGAGGGTTGAGGTGACGGATTCTCAGACTTCCTGATGTTCTGGAAATTAGATTATGCTAAACCTTTGTAGCATTAGCAATAGGGTAGGGTGGGTGATGCCTGGGGAAAAGGAGACAACAGAATGAAAAATAGAGGATTTTTTTTTGTTTGTTGTTTTGTAAGTCTGTACTGGAAGAAGTTTTGCATATGAAACCTCATTAGTAGGAAAAAAATGAGAGTACTCAAAACAAAGTGTTCTAAAACAATCTTCTAGATATTATTCTACAAGTAGAAACGTGTGTATACAATGCATATAACTTAAAAATAGCTTAAAAATAAAACACATACTTTACAGTTCCTTTTGTAACACCTAGATATATGAATATTGGTTCAAATGAGAATTTCTTAGCGGAGAATTTATTCTTTCAAATGATCTGTGCCTCTTCATACTTTGGAATGCTGTTCGGTTGTGATATGCATATATATATATATATATATATATACAGATTTTGTACAATTGGATGTATTTCAGTAGTGGTGTGCTTTGGTGTTTTATGCTTCAGTGTTTTGTGTTGCTTCATATGAGTAAGAATGAATATCTGTACAACCTTGAGTGATCTGGAATCAAAAGTCAGTGAAGTAATGACTAAGATATTTCAAAGCAGTAACAGCTGAATTTTAATTGCAGATGCTTGAAAGTTTACTGTCTCTAGCATCATTTTGTGTGAGGAGCTTGAATATACTGGAAATTGTATGAAAGAGGGACTTCTCTAATATGTTGACTAGAAGTAATTATTACTCTTCTTTCTCTTCAGAGACGAAACATCCCAGTAAAACCACTGGATGAAGTTAAAGTAAGTTACACTGATACTCTGTTTTTTAACTGGAAAAAGTGTGTTGGTCTTTACAGTTAAGAACATGATATTTTCTCAGCTTTCCACATTCCGATCCATAATTTTATTTCATGTGCATCTGTTCTGTATAATATACATTCAATTTATCAACTTTTTTAATATTTTGATTTAAAAAAAAAAAAAGCTGTTAAAATCCTTGCAAGTTCTCAGTTGTTTGAATATATGTATGATCATCCATTAAAGAAAGTCTAGTCTTCATTTATTATTTTGTTTTTAAAGGATCTGTGCGAATGTCACAAAACAGAATAGTGTTCTGTGGTGGCTTAAGATCTGATCACAGTAAACCAGTCACTAAGCTGTGAAATGCTAAGATCTAAAATATGATATTTATTTTATTTTATTTATAGGTTCTACCAGTTCTCATAAAAGAAGAACACAAGCTACGTAACACCTGTCCTGATTCTTCCAAACAGATTATGGTAAAATGGTTTGTAGAAAATGGGAGTGTTGAATATGTTCAGTTTTGCTTCAGTTCAAGGATGTGCATCCTTCTAAAATAGTGTTAAAAATTCAGTATCTAGGGGAAGTTTCCTTATAAGTACTTAGAAGGGATTCTTAAGCACTCTGTTTATTTTAGTTAGTGTCTGTTAGTCCTATTATTCTGTATTCTCTTGTTTAATTCAGTACATATGGACTAACTCAAAAGCTTAGGAAACTGATAGTTGGTCTGCTTATGATGAGTACTTGGAGTTCAACTTGCTGTAAAAGTGGAAAAAAAAAATCAGTAGCAGTTTTTGATCCATTGCAAATGTCTGTTGGAATGTAGGGGAAAATAATGTTTATCTCAGGCTTTTATAGTTACTAATTAGCTAATCTGTCTTTTAAATGGTACTATTTTATCTTGCAAATTATGTGATAACAGAAGGTACGCTCTGTATTCCATGACAGTTCACATAAAATTATACAGGTTATGCTGAGGAGAAACTATAAAGAGTTTATATTTCTCTAGAAGATGACTAAGTTAGGTTATTTCAAACTGCTAAGTTATTTTCTAGAAACATAGAAAAGAAATACCAGGTTGCATATTCCTCCTGCTCGAACGGGCAGCTTTGCAGAATTCTGATGAAACATATTTTGGGGCTGAATGAGTTTTTTACTTAAGTCTTCTTGCCATTATATGGAAGTATTGCAGTTGAAATTAATTGCAAGCTGCATTTCATTATCCGAAAGTATAAAGCAGCTGATACTGTTTAGAACAGGAAGGCACATCTCACAGATTTTAATAGTTACATAAAATTTTCACTATATCTAGTGATACATTGAAGGAAAAGGGATTCTGGTAGTTGTTACCAGTTACTCCCTCACAAACACTTGTCCCAAGGTTCTTTCATGCAACAGGGATGAATTTGGCAAGAAATTCAGTCCCGGAGGATTTAATCATACTGGTTTTAACAGTCCCAGATGTTGAGATGGAAGATATTTAGACTACTGTGCATGTCCCTTGATGGACTTCTGGCCTTTTGTATAACAGGGCCTGTCATGGAAGCGTTTTTAAGCTGCCTGTAAGCTAAATGTTGACCAGTATGGTTATGGAAGTTCCAGTCTTAGGGACTGGTGGTGCACACGCCTTGAGAATATGGATTCATGTATTTAGTTTATACTCCTGTTGCAGCTTGCCACTGTTGTTAGTCTTTGTTTCTTGAATTTTTATTTAGGTTGGAGAATCTGCTGGAGACAGTAACGCTTCTGAATTGGACTTTCTGTCTATGAAATCATATTCAGATGTATCTCTTGATATTTCGATGCTAAGTTCATTAGGTAAGTAACTAAATATTTAAACCATTATGGTTTAGTTGTACCATTTAGGCAAGATAACACCTGCATTTGCAAAGAAGTAAAAGTGCTAAAAAAGTATTAGCAAATCCACAACTGATTTATCTAGAAGTCTTAGAGTCTGATACAAGATAAAGACTTGGTTTATTTTATCTTTGGGACATCATTTTCTAGATAAGGTAATTATTCCTGTTGTAATGAATAAACCAAAGTATTTGTATCTTACAATTTTGATAGCTTTGCTTGTGTTTTTTGTGTTCATATTAGCCCAAATATTAAAAAGCACTATGATGCTTTAGCTAAGAAAAGTTACTGTTTTGGATGATATCTTTTGAAGTAACTTGGAAACTAGGTAATAAAAAATATGAAGCTCAATGATATCACCACTTGAATGTCCCAAAACAAACAAACAAAAAAAAAAAACAACAGAAGAAATGTCAGATATTGGAAAGATTTCATCTTCAATTAAGGTGACTGTATAATGTACTGGGATGTTGTGTCAAACAAACATATAGACTAGGCATCCTTTTTTAAATACTACAGCAAATAGCAGCCAGCAGAATCAGGAATGTTGATCTGATCAAATGTCTTCAAGAATGTAATAAAAAATTACAGTTTAAGATGCTTTTTCAGTATGTGAAAGATGTCACGCTACCTATTAAAAAACATAAGCAAGGTGATTGAAAGATTAAAAAAAGCTACAGGTTTATCCCATAAAGAAGCATTTTTAAGCTCTGATTATCACTGTAGTTCAGTAAAAAGATGAAGAAATACCTGTTTTATTGATGTTTAGCAGTGTCAGTCTGGCTATGAATTTCTTGCTTCACTGAAAACTGCTGTTGTTGTTTTCCTATAAATAAACTTCTAGTTTCTGGAGAGTGATTATTGCACATTCTATTTCCCATAATTCTTGGAAAGTTAGGCAACACCCGTACTGAAGACAGCCCAAAGAGAAGGGAAATGCTGTATTTATTTATTCATTCTTCACATGAAGACATTGTATGCATGGAGACTGTTCTTACAGACCTTCTGCATGGGGATTTCCTCACCACCCTGAATTCTATTTTAACTGTATTTTAGGTTAGATACTTAAGTCATCCTTCTACTGACATCATTACCTTTGCTACAAACTAGATCTGTTATTTCTTGTCTGGAGATCTACAGATCACAGAGACAAATTAAGCTCTGTTTAAATACTAGGAGTCAATTCCATTTCCCAGGGATATGTCCTTTGTCCTCTCATATCTCCAAATGCATGTCAACATGTATTTCTTGAAACTGAAAACAGATCTGCATCCGATACCTTTTAGAAGTGCAAAGGAAAGTGCAAGTTTCAGGTCTTTACTCCAATAGAAAGTAAATATTTATTTTAAAATTTATTTGAAGTGACTTAGTAATTCATGAATCAGTCTACATGTACTGATGATGGATTTTGTTGTTAACTTGTGGACTTCAGGAAAAGTGAAGAAAGAGCTTGATCATGATGATAACCATTTACATCTGGATGAAACAGCTAAGCTTCTGCAGGACCTTCATGAGGCTCAAGCTGACAGAGTGGGATCCCGACCATCATCTAATTTGAGTTCCCTCTCCAATACTTCTGAAAGAGATCAGCATCATCTTGGTAAGGTTAACTGCGTCACAGAAGTTGCAGTATTTCAGCTCTAATTTTAAACTTCAGTTTAAAACTTTCAATTTACATAAATCTTTTGCAAGAAACTACTCTGATAAAATAGTGTTCAAACTGCAGGATTTTAATTTTGAAGCATGTATGGCAAAAGCAGCTAAGACACTAGTTACAGTTACTTATTTTAGATTTAGATTAAGCACCATTGAAGTAATTGTGAAGGGTGATGAGTTAACTCTGGTTGCCAGGTACCTGCTAAGTCCTTCTCTCACTCCTCATCCTAAGCAAAACAGGGAGAAATACAGTGGAAGAAAAATTAATTGGTCAAGATAAGGACAGAGATGATTCACTAATTACCGTAGTGGGCAAAACAGACTTGAATTTAAGAAGGTTAATTTAATTTATTGCCATTTTTATTAAAAATGAGTAGAATAGTGAGAAATAACCCTTCCTCATCTTCTTTCCAGGCTCTGTTTCACTCAGTTCTTCCTCCCTAACGAGTGGTCTAGAGGGATGAGGAATGGGGATTGTGGCCAGACCATAATGCTTCTTTTCTGCCATTGCTTTCTCCTTACTGTCTTCCCCTACTATAGTGTGAAGTCCCTCTCGTGAAATACAATCTTCCACAAACTGTGCCAGCGTGGATTCTTTCCATGGGGTGCAGTCCTTCATGGGCCAAAGTTCATGCCAGAAAACTTGTTCCAGGCTAGACTCCTTTCCATGGGGCCACAGTTCCTACCAGGGGCTGTTCTTCTGTGAGCACAGCCTGTGGCTTCCTTCAGTGCATGTCCTCCTGCTGCAGTGTTGCATCCTTCATGGCCAGTAGGAGATGACTACCTGATTCACCTTCTCTTTAAGTTGCAAGGGAAATCTCTGCTCCAATGCCTTGAACATCACCTCCCCCTCTTTCCTCACTGACACTGATTGATGTCTGCATGGTTTTTGTTGGCATTTTTCTCACTCCTTACTCCTGCAGCTTGTGCAAGGCATTTTTTTTTTTTTTTACCATTTCATAAACGTCACCACAAGGGTACCAGTGGCATTGCTCATTGGCTCAGCTTTGGTACTGGCAAGCAGCTGGTCTGTTGTGGAGCTAGGTGGAACTAGCTGTGTCCAACACAGGGGCAGCTCCTGATCTCTTCTCAAAGATTGCAGTGCCCTCTGATAACAAAATCTTGCTATATAAACTCAATACGTGAAGTAAATAGATACTGACTGGCTCTTGCATTTTTATGCTCTTGGGAAATACTAAGGAATATACTATGTATTTTGATACTACATAATAAAAATAAAAATATAATTTCAATGTACTTACATGTAGCAAGTCACAGATACGATTCCACAATAACCTATTTTCAGCTGTATAATTTAATTATGGGATAGTGGGGTAACAAAACAATTTGGTGTCACTTTTAATATTATCCCAACAACACCTCATAGATTCTTAAGTTACATCTTGTGTAATTCTTCAACTCAAAGTAATAATAATAATTGCTTTTTCAAAAAGGATGTATATTCCTATAAATCTTGTGCTCTCTTTTTCAGACTCTCCCTATTTAAATTTCATTTAAATGTCTCTGTATGCGTGCACACACACACACTTTTTCTGTACTTATGAAGGTTTTGATATTTTTTTTTTTCCTATTTTCTTCAGGAAGCCCTTCTCATCTGAGTGTTGGAGAACAGCAAGACATAGTTCATGATCCCTATGAATTTCTTCAGTCCCCAGAAACCTCAAATGCTACTACTAACTAATTCAAAGTTTATATATATTTTGTATTTTAATTGTATTGTTATTATATAAATTTTTTGTACATGGCAGAAGCCTCAGTTTGTCCTACTTTGTATGAGGATTCCAGTATAATGTTGTATAATATACCGTTCAAAAAAGCCAACCCCCAAAATGGAAGGGTACTCTAGTGCATCATGATGTTAGCAATGTGCCTAAGTCTGCTTTTGCTGTGTATGTTGGAGTGTGTCTTGTCTACTGGTGTATGAATCTTGACTGAAGAACAGTAAGTGCTGTGTTAGAGGATTTCTGTTCTGTAAAAACTGAAGTTCCACCATCATGTTCATCAAGTTCATTGTTCCACCATCATGGCAGCAATCTTGAAACATTTCCTGTAGAATTATGTACCAATTTCTCTTTTGGTCTTAACATGGACATCCTCAAGGAAGAATATCTTACTTCCCCAGTGACAGAACTGAATGAACTGAAAGAACTGGGGTCGTTTTTTTTACTTTCTATCTTCTACCCTCTAATCTGTACAAATGGTTTGTGTTTCCCTCTCTTTGTAAATCTTTCATCACCCTAGAGAATATTTAATATGAGAATAACAGTACTTGTAGTTGCTTTAAAATGCTTACCACGCTAATTCTGCCCTGGATCTAAAAGAGGTGGATGTTTTCTATGAGCCCTTGTGTTTTGAAAGAGATTACAGTACTGATACTTCTAAATTCAGTATTTATATTTACTTGGATGACAAGAATTCTGCATGCAGCTTGCTTTTTGGTAATTCTAAGGTAAAATCTTTGGAATTCAGTATTCTTGGGGGGTGTACCACAGGTATATGCAAGCTGGACATGTTATAAATTTACCATATTTTGTAAATTTGTAAAAATAAAGAGTGAGGATCAGGAAGCAGAGCTCTCATCCACATTGCCTGTACAGTCTTGCCTATACAGTCTTTACTCTCTATCTGTCTTTGCCAATTATTTTATGAACATTCTTGCTTATAAAATTCTGACATCTCTTGTTTTCTCAGAACGGAATTCTGCTGCAAACCCTTCTCATACTGTGCCAGTACATCTTTTATGGTGTCTTCCTTTAGTAGTGAACAGGTAACACTAAAATTTTTATGAGATACTCACCTGATTTATCTGTCTTGCCTAAGTAAGCCTTCTTTCAGATGAAGATCTTGTTTTCACAGTTCATCCTGAGGCCAAAGTTCTGGAAACAGAACTGAGTGGCTAAGAGGGCTTTTTTTCTGTTAAAAATCAGAATGTCTGTAAGCTCTTCACATTGGACTAGAAAAGTCAGAATCACAAAGACTAAAATATGCAGAAGAATTGGTAGAGGTCAGAGCAAAGACCAAATATACTCATCAAAGGAGTTAATAGGGAGGCTGATTGGTTTTTGTGGATATAGTAAACGTATTTCAAAACACAAATGTGTAATTCTGTGAAGGAGGGATTTTAATCGTTTTTCTTTACTTCTGACTGGAAATTTAGTAGAAAACAACTTACATTAAATTTGTGGAAGGTCAAATGAAGTGCAAATGTTAGGTTTTAAGTGGTAGTGGATGTTCAGGTTAGTGAGGTAAATGTTTTGCTATTTACCTTTAGGATTCCCTTCACCCACAACACCCTTCCTGAAGAAATCCTAGACAATTCCTGTAATACTTGAAGAATTGGATTTCAGGATTGTTTAATGAAAAAATGTTACAGCAAGAAATGAGAATGTAAATTCACCTAATAGCATCTTTTGAAGCCAGGAGGACCACACTTTACAAATGGATTGTTCCTATCACATTTTCATATTTTAATACCACTTTATAATTAATGCTTGATCAGCCATAACCTCTGAGAAGAATATTTAAAAAATAAACAAAACAGTTAACGTACAGATCATGAAGTGAGAGGCTTCCTCTTCAGCCTCTCAATTACTGAATATTTTTAATCAGAGGTTATGGTATTGCTAGTATTTCTATATCTATATGTAAGATAAGTTTTTTTAATTATTATTTTTTTTTTTAATTCTCTTGTTACATGCTGTATTGGGAAAAAATTCTTAAGTTGCATCACAGAATGGCTGAGATTGCAAAGGAGCTCTGGAGGTCCTCTGGTCTCACCCCCTTCTTCAACCCTAAAGGCACTTTCCTAGGACTGCATCCAGAAACCTTTTGGAGATCTCTACAACTGTTTAAGGCTACCTGTGCCAATGCTGGATCATCCTCACAGTAGAGTGTTTCTTGATGTTTAGGTGAAACATTCTATGTTTACATTTGTGCCCATTGTCTCTTCTCCTGGCACTGGGCACCACTGAGAGGAGCCTGGTTCTGTCTTCTTTGCACCCTTCCTTCAGGTATTTGTGGGAATTGTTGAGATGCCTCCATCAGCTTCCTCTTCTCTAAGCTGTATAGTTCTGCTTATCTTTGCCTTACCTCTTACAAGATCACTCATTTTTCTGCCCTTTCTTTGTACCCTCCAGTATGATTGTATCTTGTATTACGGACCCACAATTGGGCCACAGTACTCCGGATGTGATTTCATCAGGGCTGAGTAGAGGGGAAGGATCACTTCCTTTGAGCTGCTGGCAGTACTTTACCTAGTGCACTCAAGGATATCCTTGCAGCCTTCTTTTCAGCAAGGGTGCTTTGTGGACTCAAGTTCACTTTAGCATCCACCACGATATCCAGTTCCTTTCTTTTCATCTTGTTTTCCAGCTGCTTGGCCTGCAGTATATATCAGCGCCTGGTGTTGTTCCTCCTCACATGGAAGGACTTTGTACTTCTCATTTAAATGTGTGAGGTCCTTGTCAGCCCATTTTTCCAGCATATCAAAGGTTCCCCTGGATGGTAGCACAAATCCCTGTTGTGCTAGACGTTCCTACCAATTTTGTGTTATTTGTGAACTTTCTGGGGGTACACTCTGCTTCGTCATCCAGGTCATTAATGAACATGATTACTGGACTCAGTAGCAATGCCCCTGGGATATACACCTAGTTTCTGACCTCCAATTAACCTTCACAAAGGATCTCGTTTTTATAAAATCTACACAGTTTGCGAGAGATAGTAACTCAATTTCTGTTTTCTTTAGTCTGTAAAAAATAAAAATGACTCTAAATTGAGCACAAAGGCCAAATAAATAATGTGAAGACAACAGCTGTATCTGAACTATGGAAGTGGGATTCAGGATTTTCTATATAAGTCAAAAAGCGTTCCATGATTCTGCAATGTGAGTTGTACAGTCTGGGTGGACAGCTTATTCAATAGCAACCTGATGTGATACATAACCAGCAGTAAAGAATTGTATGTATAACAACATCATTAGCAACAGCACTATTTTTTTTTTTTTTTTTAAGCAATGATGCTACATGAGTTAACACCTCTTAGAGACTAAAACTTCACTATGTAAATCCTGGATACTTTTTGCATCCAGGTCTTCAATGACTTTAAAGTGATGGGCTTTGGACATCACTTTAAATACTGTTCCAGGATTGTATATGTTAAATGTTCTTAAAGGGGCATAAAATCTTGAGAGTTGCATAGATCTCTTTTTGCTTTGCTGTCAAAAACTGCTGACATGATCTTGCCTCAAAATTTGTATCTGCACTGTTATAAATGGTTTTGCTACTGTGTGTTTAAGCTCTTCACACCTTTTCTACCCACTTTCTCAAATGTCTTTGAATACCATATCCTTAACATACTCACCTTTTTAACCAGTTTCTCTTCAGCCTTCAAAAGACAGCCATGGTATAAAAGAAAAAGTCAGAGTTCCAGGATCCAACTTTCCTTTCCCTGAAAGCTGAAAGGCAAAAGTTGCCTCTTTGTCAGAGAGAAATGTTTTAAGCACTTTCAGAGCTGCAGGATAAAACCTTGTCTTTGGGCTGAGATTTAGAACTGAGACTGACATACCCTCGTGAGCAGGTTGTCAGGAGAACTACTCCCCAATCATATATTGTCCTGTCAGCGGGCACTACTGAGAAGAATGTTTCCTTTTTCACTTCAGTAGGTATTTATACACATTTTCTGAGAACCACTCCCCAACCCTGAGACTTCTCCTCCCCACTCCAGTTACGGTGGTCTCAGCCTCTCCCCCCTTCATCATCTGTGTTGTTTTGTGCTGAAATCACCTCACTCTGTCTATCTCTCCTGTAGGGAGGAGCACAGAACAGTACTTCAAGTGCAGCCTCACCAAAGTTGAGTAGAGAGGATGTCCTTTCTTGTTCTGCTGACAGTGCACCCCAGAAAAATAATGGCCACTTTTGATGCAAAGGTGCATCTTACGGATAGCTTGATGTCAACCAGGATGCCAAGACCTCAGAACATCATAAAAGTGAAACTGCAGGATTCTTATCTTTTTAAAAAAAATCAATCCTGTTGATTATTTTTGATTGGTTGTAGAAATCACCTGCCTGTGGGATAATTGCAGTCACCAAACTATGTAGCAAGGATTTAAACACTAGGAAATACTGGGAAATTTATATTACTTGCTCACCTTTTAAATTACAGGTAAGAGTGGAGAGTATTAATTATACTGAATTTCAGTATTAAAATATTTGCTAAGTTTTTTTTAGGAAGGAGTAATCACATTGAGGAACAAAAATGAATCTATCATTCTATGATTCTTTGAAACCAACTTCACTTGTATGGTGCACATAGACACTTAAAGCAAGATAAATAAGCTGGTGTTGGTGTTTTGCATTGCTTTTCAAGCCCATCAAAAGGACTAGTGATGATATTTGGATTATAGTAAATAATTTGTTGTTCCTTTGCTAAATCAATTTTTCAGTGGGTTTGTATATTAAAACTTCTATCAAAAGAGATTCCTCCCATTCTGAGTAGTAGGGGCTTATGTGATTGTACAGTCTGACTTTTAGGGAACTCTTAAATTGTCAAATGTTTTCTTATGTCCTAGAATAATCTGTATTTCATAAGACAGTGGTAACATGTAGTAGGTGAGGAGAAAGAAAAGAGTCCTGGGAATGGCATAGGAAATCCTGAAATCATAGCAGTTGTCAGTCCTATATAATTAGATGCATAGTTAGACCATCCTGAAGCTACTATTCAAAACTGCAGAATGCAGAACACATATTACAGAATCATAGAAGCACAGAATCGTTAAGGTTGGAGAAGACCACTAAGATCATCTTGTCCAATTGTTACCCCAGCCTACTAAATAGTGTCCCTAAGTGCCCTGTCTACTCTTTTCTTGAAAACCTCCTGGGATGGTGACTCTACCACTTCCCTGGGCAGCCTGTTACAATACCTCACCAATCTTTCTAAGAAAAAATTTCTCTTAGTATCCAACCTGAACCTCCCTGGCGTTATCATTAGTTACCTGGGAAAAGAGGCTTACCCCCAGCTCTTTCCAGGCAGTTGTAGAGAGCGATACCTTCTCACTGGGCCTCCTGTTCTTCAGACTAAACAGACTAAGCTCTGTTCCCTCAGCTGCTCCTTGTAAGACCTGTGTCCCAGACCCATCACCAGCTTCACTGTCCTTCCTTACATACACGCCAGGGCCTCAATGTCTTTCTTGTAGTGAGGGGCCCGGAGCTGAACACAGCACTTGAGGTGTGGACTTGCCAGTGCCAAGTATGGGGAGACAATCACCTCCCTGGTGCTGCTGACTGCATTGTTACAAGCCAGGATGCCATTGCCCCTCTTGTTCACCTGGGCACACTGCTGGCTTGTGTTCATCCAGCTGTCAGCTAACACCCCCAGATCCTTTGCACAGCTTTCCAGCCTCTCTGCTCCAAGCTCGTAGTGATGCATGGATGCATGAGGTTGTCGTGACTGAAGAGTAGGACTCAGCACTTGGTCTTGTCAAGCTCATGCAGTTGCCTCAGCCCACTGATCCAGCCTATCCAGATCCCTCTGTAGGGCCTTCCTACCCTCAGGCAGATTCCCAACTTCCTCCCGACTGGATGTCATCTGCAAACCTACTGAGGATGAACTCAATCCTCTCAATTCAGACAATCTGTAAAGATATTATGCAGAGCTGACCCCAATACTCACTCATGGGTATCACCACTAGTGTTGCTGGTTGGGTTCAACTCTATTCACCACCAGTCTCTGGGCCCGGCCAGCCAGCCAGGTTTTTACCTAGCAAAGAGTACACCTGTCCAAGCTATGAGCTGCCAGCTTCTCCAGGAGAATACTGTGGGAAACAGAGTCAAAGGCTTTACTAAAGTCTAGGTAGACTACATCCACACACCCACAGACCTTCCCTCATCCACTAGGTGGGATCATAACTCAGCTGTGAATGCTGTACTTGACTATCATTCCTACATTTCAATCCTTGCGTGGACTCCTTTTATTTTCTTTTTCTTTTTTTGCTATTCTAATACCTTTTTTGGATCAGAAGTTTATTAAGTGCTAACTGGTGAAGATGGAATAAGTTGTAAAAATACGACTTTTTTTTTATTTAATTATTTTTATGATGACAACTGGTTTCTTCTAGCTGCTTTTGTATTTATGTATGAACGACATAAATCACTACCTCTGTCGCACTCATGTTTTCCCACAGTTTGCCACAATTTTAAGGAAAACAGTTTGACTTTTCTGTTTTGGGAGTTGTTAGAAGTATGTGTGTGTGTGTTTGGCAGTGTGGCAATGCATTCAGGCTGTCTGCTACTCATGCACACATAATGGCCAGTGTGCGTTCCTGGAAGGATGACCTGATGCACTGTGACAGTGTTCACTGTTGGAAAGTCTTTGCATGGACACGCAGTCTTGCATTGGTCAATAATCTCTAAGAGAATAATAACTGAAAAATATCTTTAAAGTTAATGCTTTTTTTTTGACCCTAATACAGCAAGCTTGATTTCTCATACTCTATATGTGAATGTAAATTGATTCCTGTAATATATGTTAGTTAATAATTACAGGTGGTGAGGAAATTTTTAGTGAAACTGTTGTTACTGTTGCATTGCTCACCTTTGTCCTTGAATAAAAAAACACTCTTTTAAGTTCTCATCTAGAGTAATGTGCTGGTTTGTTTGTTTTGCTTCAACTGTTTTTTTTTGTAAACTATTGAAAACTGAAATAACCTACAGTACCTTATTATATGCATCTTGGGCTGCAAGCAGTACTCATTCAAACACTGAAGTTCTGTAAATTAGCCTTTAAGCTTCTGTGGTTTATTGGTACAAATGGCTGTGAAGTCGTTGTATTACTACCGCTCCAGGAAGCACTTTGTGCTGCCTAGGAAGGTTTGCCTGTTTGTTCAGCATATCTCACCCCTGGGCAGTGTCAGTTCTATGCAGTAATGTCTAACTGTAGATCCCATGGCTGATGGACAGCCCTTTTCATAAGCCTACTAACTTCTTTCTTGGGAGGAGGGGGGAATGGGACACAGCACTCTTAACACAAAGTCCTCCCCAGAAGCAAATCTTTTTCTTGTACGCTACTTTGTCTTCCCAGAATGGTAAATGTTGACTTGAATTCTGTTTTCTGGGGGTACTGAGAGTGCTGTATGCCTCAAGAAATCTTTTACATGGCTTTGAGAAATCTTTCCCCTACACTTTCTAGAAAGATTGGACTCTGTGTTTGCATCCTCTCCTTTCTCTTCTTTATTTTTTTAATAAATTAAATGGTTTTTTTTCTTAGAAAAGAAGCTCCATGTATTAAGATAGGGTGACTAGTTTCTGTTCAGCTTTTTTTGTAATAGTGCTTTTTTACTGATTCCCAAGACCAAAAATAAACCCTCTCTTCTATTTCTGTGCCAGTAGTATGCTGCATTTCCTAATTAATTCTATTCTAGTTCAAGAAAAGCTTTAGGAAGCAATTCTGCCAGTCCTGTCACTACTTATTTGAAGCGTGGGGAGGAAACCTAAGCCATGTCTCATTTGCTTTTGTCTAAGAAGTATGAGATCATATTAAATACATTGAAAAGTTTTAAGGAAAAAAAAAACCCAAAAGTAAGCTTATACTTCTGTAAAACATTAAGAATTGGAAAACTTATAATTAATTAAATTAATTAATTATTTTTTAAAAATATTCTTCATTGTGCACAACTTCAATACGTGCTCTGTAGCACGTAGAAAGAAATGAGTTCTGAGCAGCTGCTGTCCATCACTGGATTGCACCCATGAGGTGGACTTGCTGCTGCTAACTAAGAGTCTGATGGAAACCAGGTCAGAGTCAATTTCCTCCTCCATATGTTTGAAACAAATAAACAGAATTAGGAAGAGAAAGCGTGCATTTCAATAGCTGCACATGCTGGTCCGTTCACGTATAAAGGCACCTTGATATCTGCATAATAGCCATTAATAGGATGTCCTATGCTGCCATTCTGTGCTTGCACTGCATTCAGCACTACATTGCAGAAGTAACATATAACAATCCAGGTATGCTGTCACCATTACTGGGGATTTATTACTGGGGATAGACAA